AGCTCAAGGTCGAGGGATGGGAATTGTATCTTGATCATCTCGTATGGCTCCCATGTGGTTTCGCACTCCCATAAACCCTTCCACTTGATTAGTACCTCCTGTGCCCATGTTTCCCCTCGGCACACCCCTTCTACTCCCAGGGGTTTCAAAATGGCCTCCATGTCTTCTGTCAAAATCGGGGGTAGTGAAGAAGGTGTGTGATTTCCTATCGCTCACCTCAGCTGTGAGACAAAGCATCACAAATAGGTTTCCATGCTTCTGTTGACCACCTCCGTCTGGCCATTTGTCTGGGGATGGGATGTTGTGCTCCTCTTTAAAATTGTCCCCTATAAATAGAACGGCTCCTTCAAGAAATGAATGAGGAACACCTTGACTCTATCTGACACAATGGATTCTAGAAATTCATATATGCACACCACCTCCGTTTGAAAGTAGTAGCCACAGAGACTGCGGTGTAAGGATGCTTCAGAGGGATGAAGTGTGCATACTTGCTCAGGCGGTCCACTACTACCAGTATCACTGTAAATTTCTCTGAATGCAGCAATCCTTCGATGAAATTCATTGTCACCTCCTCCCACACCCTCTCCGGTAGGGTTAATATGATATAACATAAATACTAAAAAATACTAAAATACTAATATGCTTCATAACAACTACTGATAATGACATTATAGAAAATTCCAAGAGAAAAAATTGATGTGAAATACAATAAAATATGATACACTCATATGGACGACCAACCTCTTCGAGGAAAACCAACACAAATGGCTCAAAATTTATTATTGATTAATTATGCACATTTAAATTTGACAAGATAGATAAAAATTTAAATTTCAAGTCTTCTTTAAGAAAATCATAATTAATAATTTCTTTAAAATGGAAGTAATTTAGATTTATCAAGTAAGCTCCTTTTATGAAATTATACATAAAAAAAAAATTAAGAATAAAAAATAAAATCAATTTCATCACGACCGCTCATCATAGGATAATTTCAATGGATAATTTATCAATAGTTATATTATTAAATTGCTAAATTGATTATGATTCATACTAAATTTTGATCTTAGACTCAAATCCTAACTCTTGTACAAGTATAGACTCATATTCCTAAATATTGTCTACTATAGGTACTTATTTAGGGGTTGTTTGGTTGGAATACAAAGTGGTGTAAAGAATTCTTAATGCAAGAGTTTTGAAAATTTTGGTGTTAGGTTGGAATACAAAATGGAGCAAAGTAAAGTAAATATAGTGTAAATCATTTTAGTTTATTTTTGAAGTAAACCAAACTCATCCAGTTTTGAGTGAGAATCATTTACACCATAAGCAAGCTTGCATGACTGATGCCCACCACTGCTGCCACCTGTTGTCCACCACCAGTAGCCGCTACCTCCACCCATCGCCAACAACCATGGCCGCTACCAATGTCGACCGCCACTGTCGGTCGATGCCGCTACCCACAGTCGGCCACCACCACTGCCGCCATTCATTACTTCAAACCAAAAAAAAAATCATACACTTGCATTTACTTTACATTCTTCAAAATAATTTCAAAGTATTTCTTTTACACCACATTTCTTTTACACTACATTCCTTTTTTAGTCAACCAAACATCTCCTTAGATTTAACAAAAATAGATATAGAATTACATTATAACGCTAAATCTAACTTATCATTAAAAGAATAATCATGAACTTTCAATATGATCAAGATCAACTGTAAGTGATTCTCGTGCTAGTGTGTTTGAAGGGTTTTAGAGGAGTGATAATAAATTTTTAGAGAAATTAAACATAAATTCAGCAGTCCTACTAGAAATATCAATCTCAAAAGCTTTATTTAAAGCCTCATCTAATGACACTGGGAAAAGGTAATTTAATTCATACTTATTTATTCACTAAGACCTTTAATGAAACATATAATGATTGCATGATAGTCTATTAACAAATAATATGCTTAAAGAATTTTAAATCTTGCATAATATTAAAATACATCATAATCAACTTGTTTGCAATTCTTAAATTGATCATATAGTTGGTCCATATATTTATTAAATGATAAATATAACTATTTAAGTTTATATTTTATATCAAACATAGGCGGATCCACATTGGCCTAAGGGTGGGCAAATGCCCACCCTTTGCCCACCCTCAAATTTTTTTTTTTAATATTTAGAGTGAATTTTTTAGAATATTTTGGGTATTTTGGGCATTTTGCCCCCCCTAAAAAAATTTTTTTGTCCTAATTTTATCAATCCTAAACATCTTTGCCCATCCAAAAAATTTTTTTTTTTTTTGCCCACCCTAAAAAAAGGAGTTGGATCCGCCCCTGATATCAAACATGTAGATTTAGCAGTAATTCATCATCAAAATTATTGAGAATGTCCCACTAATTTTAATTTAGCATATTCCACTATTTTGGAAACAAATATATTGACATTCAATTCTTCCAAATTATCAATCTAAATTAAATATTTTCTAAGATTTTACCTCTAGAATGAATGTAAGAATGTATTTCTAAACCTTTTGATAAGCACATTAAAGTTGTTCAGAACCATTCATTCAATTTATTTAATTTACATCATGCTATTATTTTGCTGATGATATTCTTCTTATTGATAAGACTAGAGGAGTTGAAGGTAAACTTGAATTATGGAGGTCAACCTTAGAGTCAAAAGGTTTTCATTTGAGTAGATCTAAAACCGAATACATATAGTGTAATTTTAGTAGTAATAGATCTAATAGGGGATTGTAACTTTGGGCGATCAAGCATTAATAAGAGTACATGTTTTAGATATCTCGAGTCTATTGTCCAGAGTGATGGTGAAATAGATGTGGATATTATTAGTAGAATTCAAATTGGATGGTTGAAGTGGAGGAATGCATCGGGCCTGTTGTGTGATAGAAAAGTAGCCCTCAAACTTAAGGGAAAATTCTATAAGATGGTGGTGAGACCTACAATGCTTTATGGCGCAGAATGTTGGCCATTAAAAGAGAAGCATATAATTGCAGAGATGATGATGCTTATGTGGATGAGTGGCTTTAGTCTTAGATATAGAATGAGAAACGAACATACACGTGAAAAGGTTGCAGTAGCTCCAGTGGTAGATAAGATTAGAGAGAATTGTCCTAGATGGTTTGGTCACATAAAATGTTGGCTTTATGATGACCCAATTAGGAGATTATATATATTAGATTTGGCCTATGTTAAGAGAGGTAGATATGGATCTAAGAAGACTTGGTTAGAAAATATTAGAAATGACATTTTTTATATAAGATTTAAATGATAATTTAACCATTAACAGGATAAAAACAGACAAAAAAGGATTTATGTATCCGACCCCACGTAGTGGGATAAAAGTTTGATGTTGTTGTTGTATGCTATTATTTTGCTAATTAACCCAAATATCATGTCTTACTTTTAGTGGCCCAATAATGCACCTTCAGGGTCTGATACCACGTATGATCTATAAGTTGTTAGAATCAAGAGTTTCCTACAAATTTATGATGTGATGCACAAAGTTATATGAATATATTCAAATTTGTAATTTACAAACCATGAATTTAAACAAATATTTATCTCTTTTGATGAAACTTGGAAAAAATATAAAAAATTCATCCTAGTGATAAATTACTAGTAGTCCAATAAAATTCATGCATTTAAAGTCAAGATTATGAAAAAAAAAATCACATTTTGATCGGAAGCTCACACTGAAATTCAAAAATTTAGTTTGTGCTTTAATAATACTCAATCAAATAAGCAAAACAATTACCAAAATTAAAGAATAAAGCAAGAAAGATAAAATGTCACCAGATAAGAAAATAAATCTTACACTAATATAAGAAGACAGCTTCCATTAAAATTTAGAAGGCTATAGAGAATTCCATCCAACTAATTATTAATTGCATCAAAGTGGAAAATAAAATAAAATACCTTTAATATTATAATCGCAAATCCCTTCAAATTTATATTAACAAAAATTGACAAGATATCGCTAAAATCATGTAGAGCAGAAAGTCGTCCACACGAATGCAATCCCTTTAGTTATTACATGATAATAAAAATTACATTCGGTGTTGGGATTACATGACAATTGAAGAACCATAGGGAGATGGATGGCTTGCAAGTTGCAACTAACACGAGATCATAGGGAGTGGACGAGTGAGGACTGCATACATTTTGTGAGGATGAAAGGGGACCCGCATCACACGCGGTGCATATCTTTCTTCATAAAACTAACAGCAAGGATATAAATAACATTGAATCAAGCTTTATGTGAAAACTTTTTGAAGACAAACTTTTTTTATAGGCAATATCTAGAAGAGAGATTATGTAAAAGAAGTAAAGGATTTGCGGTTAGCATGCATCCTTGGATATACAGCTGAGACAAAGCACTCTTTCAGAATAACAGCACAACTCATATTAACATATAAGCAAGTAAAATTTCATTTATCTATAGCCTGCTATATGAAAGGGAATGGGTATCAACCTTTTTGAACATTACAGTATACTGATTGTTTACACAGGTTCCTTCTGGAAATATTAGAAGAGGATTGGTGTCAGCACCTTGAACATGTTGCCTTAATCTGAGAAGGTCCATACGGTGCAATTAAAGAAATTGACACCGGTTTATAAATGCCAATACTTAATGCACAAAGAATAAGGAGTGTCATACTTTCTTGCCACTATTTCACGATCTTTGGCCTCGGTCCGGTTGAACCAAATACAACCTACACTTTCCAAGATATGTGTCTGAATGAAACCTGAATCAGGGAACAAAAGGTATTAGTTTTGAGAAATGCCTAGTTATTGAATAAATTACAAAACACCAGAATTGCAACATACCAACCCATCCTGGATGTTTTTGCATTATAACCGCAAAAGCAGACATCTGTTCTAAAATGATAAAGTCAATCATGGAAGTATGATTGGCAACAAATACCTGCTCACAGTAAGGAAGTTGTATTTAAATTATAGAATAATTGATATCACAGAGATGGGTAATATTCACTTAAGCTCACATAGAAAAATAACCTGATGTGGTCTCATGCTAGGACGAGGCCCGTGATACTTAACGACCCCAGTCCACGAAGTAACAAAAAAGCCACAAATCATCTCCACCAATGCCCTCTAGAAATACAATCAAAGTTATTTATCAAAAAATATAAGAAATATAGCATAATCAACCAATTAAAAGTCATTAAATGAAGACAAATCTTTTGCAAGTTTATAGCATCCTCACAGTTAGACGAGCACTAGAACTTTTTACTAGTTGTAATATATATGGGATACGGTAGCAGGGGCAGCAGGAGGGGGCAGGTTGGGCCAACCCATTGAGTTGGGAATTGTTGGGTTGTCGTGGTGCCAACAAAAGTTTTTTTATAACACAACATTTTCACCTTCATCCGCCACCAGGTCTTCCATTTCTGGCTCTGTTTCTTCAGTTGAGTTAACAATCAGATCCTCCAACTCCCCTTCAGCAACATGGATCTGCGGTCTGGTGGGACACTTATTAGACTTGTGACTGGTCTGAAAGCTTCAAAAGCACTTCACGGTTGAGGGTCTCGAATACGGATTCTCCTTCACAAGCATTCTCGATTTGGGCGGTAGCTTCGAATCAGGCACGGCGGATGGACCCGCATTGGGTGATGGTTGACTCGTAATGGTCTTCGAGGTATGTCCAGTCGGCTTCGCTTCAAACGGATGTTCACAGCATTTCTGTCTATAAGTAAAGTTCCGGGAACGCCTAGCCAGCTAAATTTCCGCCTTAAGGGAAAAATTGACAGCTTGTGACAAAGTCCAAATGGAATTGAGTTCCAGTTTGTCTTGTATGGCCTCCTTTAAGCCTCTAATGCAACGAGCGATGAGTTGTGTGTCCGATTTGTTGAGCTTATTGCGAGCACTTAATATGTAAAACTCTTCAGTGTACTCGCTAACAGTTCTACTTCCCTGGACACAATGTTGGAACCTAACATATAACAGCTACTCATAATAGGTTCGGAGGAAGTGTGATCTCATTAATTGCTTCATTCTTGTCCAACTTCTGACATATCCTTTGCCTTCTCGTCATCGATTTCGCCTGACCTGCATCCACTATGCGCTGGCTCCTCAGTGTGCAATGGCCTTGAAGAAGGGGATATCCAATTTGATTCAAAACTCATGTTGTTGTCTAGGATTCCTGTCCCTCCACCTCTTGGTTTCGTTCGGATAATCACACTCATCTTCTTTCAAATTAAATGGTTGGATCGGCTGAAATTGATCTCTTTTCTCTTCAAAATTAGACATTTCTAGAATCGAGGCAAGGTTTTTCCTCCCAATGCGCTCTTTGCCTTCATTTATCCGAACCGCTTGAGGTCCAATTGCCTGTGGCGCTCGACGAAGGTTATGGCCATGACTATCATGGGCTTAGAGTTCTCTCCTAATGTCTATGGTGATGCACTTAAAATCGGAAGAAATTTATGATAGCTGCTTGGAGAAAGTGGTTTGCACCGCCCACAGTGCTTCTAAGTTTCATTCTTCATTAGAAGCTGCTCTTCGGCTACTCTCTTCCATCAGTGCCAACCCAAACTACTGATCTCTAATACCAATTTGGTGTCATACCCAGTTATAAGACCCTGCAAAAACACAAGCTACCTAGGCAATATCTCACATGAGCGAGAAAACAGTAAAATATGTTATTCTGTTCTTCTTCTTTTGCTTTCATCTTCTATATATATCATACTGTAAGGCCTCTAATATTACTATAGCTAAGGCTATAAATGAATTGAGCGTTCGACGAACTACTCGTGGCTCAGCTCAATAACAGCTCGTTCATGTTCGTTTGATAAGATAAACGAACGAGCATGAACACTTTTGATAAATACTCGATAGCTAAATAAACGAGAGCTTGAACAACTTGACGTTCAATTCATTTATGTTCATGAACGGTATCGTTTAATGCTCGTAAACAAGCTCGATTAGAGACCGGCTTAGAAGCTCGATTAGGATTATATTAGTGTTTAAAAAATACATATTGTTAAATTAATAATTTAATTTCACTAATCCTATCTAAAATTGTTTAATAATTTATTTTTATTTCTTGCATCCGCCTAAAATCACAAACAACTCACTCTCTAAACAAATATAAGATGAATCATAGATCGTTTGTTCGTAAATGAGTTCATTTGGTGGCTCACGAATACTCATTATATATGTTCGTAAACGAGTTTGTTTACCATAAATCTGTGGACTCCGAAAATTCGGCCCTGGCCTCCGCCCGCTTGCTTTTTCTTTGGGAGAGTTTTAATTGAATTAAGTTATGGTGTAAATTTTGGGAAGGTAGATGGGTTTGTAGATAAGACACTACCCAGAGATTTCACCCTCATTTTACGAGGACTTTATGATCTGAGTTTTGGTTTCTTATAGGCACAAGCCCCTATAGTTAATTACCTCTCTCGATCACGAGAGAGAACTTTCGATTAAGGCTAGTCGTCGATCAGATACGAAGGAAATACGTGTTATCTGGCATATAGTAGCAACATGAGCATGATATTTAAAAAGTTTGAATGTTTGGAAAATTTGGATTGAGATATTTGAGAAGTTTGATATTTAAAATTGAAATTTTCACTATCTTGCACTTAAACCGGATGGTGGGGGAATGGATAATGAACCCAATCAAGATCGCATGATTCCATCCTCGGGCCATCATGGCCTCTGATCTACTTAGTCAAAGGAGGTAGTCGACCCAACCTGACAGAAGGATCCTTGTCGGCAGCCCTGGGTTGCTTCGTCCAAGGGAACCTTGTAGACCTGAGATAAATGTTTGTTTAAGGAGACAAATTTGAATCCACCTTAGCTAATAGAGGGCTTTGTGCCCTATGGATCATATTATATTGATTCATATATCAAGGATTGATGCCACTAAGGAGCGTATTGGCTCTGTCCATAATCGATATTTCGTGATGTCATTTGGCAGCAAAACCACTCGGTTCAAAGGGTCCCGGGTCATAACCATTTATCTTGCTGTGCCATTTGGAGGCAAAATCGCCGGTCAGAGGACACATACCACATTCTTATTGGCAGGAGATTGTTTGAGAATGGATCTTAGTGATATTTCGACTAAGCATTAGCTCTATGTGAACTGAAGTAAATTTTAATTTGTCCACATCGGCAAACTATTACGGAGGGTGGATGAATTTGGCTTTAAGTGTTTTATGATTAGATTTCAATTTTAAATATCTAGACTTTGGGACTTTTGGAGTTTTTTTTTTGGATTTTATGGATATTTGGGAGACATTTAAAAGTATTTGTGAACCCCTTCGAATGAAATAAACATTCAACACGACCATCATCGGGGTATTTGGGATCATTTCCATTTGAAAATATTTATATTTTATGGATAAAACTTGTTGACTCTATCGAGTTGTCGACAGATGATTAAGTTTCATAGACTTTATGCTTTTGCGAATAAATTTTCTTTATTAGAAGCTTTAAAGGCCTAATATGAATGTATAAAATAAATATCCCGATTGACCTCACGACCGTATATTTATTTAATGGTTCGAGTCATGTCGACTCCTATCTACCTGCATAGAAGGATCGGGATCAAACTTAGGTTTATTTATTAACCCGCGCAGCATCCCTAGACGTCACGTGTGTATCCATAACATGTTCGTCAGGGCCCCATGCGGGTGAATGATTTTATTGATGAATCTTTCTTATAAAAGGTCTTGAAGGTCTAATATGAATGTATAAAATAAATATTCTAATCGACCTCGTGACCACATATTTATTTAATAGTTTGAACCCTGACGACTCCTATTTACCTGTTTAGGAAGATCAGATTTCATAGGCTTTATGCCTTTATTAGTGAATTCTCTTTATTATAGGTCTTGAAGGCCTAATATGAATGTATTAAAACAAATATACCGGTTACCACAACCGTCTATTTCTTTGATGGTTCGAACCCTGTCAACTCCTATTGATCCGTATAGAAGGATCGGCTTCGAACTTGAATTCACTTATTGATCCGCGCAGCAACCCTAGACGCCACGTTTGTACTTATAACATGTTCGTCGGGGCCTATACGGGTGAATGATTTTACTTATCCTTTTTGTGTATCTATGTGTATACAAATTATGGTGCATGTGCAAGGATACTTGGGGCGTTTAATAATAGTTTAAAAAACTTCGCTATATATAATCACAAAATGGCCCTAAACCGAACATGAACCAAACATGAGTCGAACATGAACACCCATTAATTTAAACGAACCAAGCTTGAACACAAACACAAAATCTCGAATCAAACTTGAGCCAAACTTGAACAAGATGATAATAAACGAACTCAAACATGAACACGCACATACTCGGCTCGGCTCGGCTCGGCTCATTTGCAGCCCTAAGTATAGCTAAGCCTATTTGTCTCAATGTAAATAGCTTGTAAAAGAAATAAAAGAACTACTGATGAGAAAGAGTGGTAATGTAGTAAAACGTAATGAGCGAGTGGAGCAAACAGCATGTGCACGTGATGGTAAGCTGTCACCATATACTGTGACTGTACTGCATCAATATGCATGTTGTGCATCTCATATCTAGATTCAGTAAAGTAGCATTTGATCATTTTACAGTCAACATTTTCCCTACTCATTTATTGTAAAACGTCATATAAGTCAACCTGGTAAAAGGTCAATATAAATCAATCAAAATTTCCTAAAAATGATATACATCATCTATCAAAAATTACACGATGAAAATTCAGTGAAACAGGATATTTTGCCCTTTTATCACTTTTAAGAGAGAGAAAATGTATTGAACTCGAAATCATTGAAAACAGATACAGAGTAAAAGTCTCTTACTATGATCAAAATAACTTTTATAATAAGAATAAAGGGAAAAAAAAAGTCCTGAAAGATTTTCTCTCCTCTCCTCTCTCCCCTTTTTTTATCTCTTCCTTCTTTTCTTCTCCCTGGCAAGGAATGAAATGAGGGAGGGGGAGGAATGATGGAAGGAATATTTATATAAAAAATCATTTTAAAGTATGGCGCCACAGTGCCCAAGACCCAGCGCCGTAGAAATGCATGTGAAAGAGAAATGCGTTGCAGCGGCCTAATTTATTTTTAAAATTTCCAGAAAGCTCAGCGTCGTGATGACGTTGTTCCGGCACTTCCCAGCACTTCTGTGCCTGCAAGTACAGCGCCGCAAAGCTTCAGTCCATAATTTCATTTTAAAATTATTTTTAAAATTTTAGGTTATTACAGCAGGTTTAAGAGTTTCTCAAAGCAAACCGCATAGGAACAATTGATGATAACTTTTTATTGCTTGGACCAAACAAGGGTTTAATATAAAAACAAAACACCAAGTCTGTCAAATATCTGCAACATTAATTGTATATCAAAATCGAACATAAAATTGTCACTCCCTAAATCTACTTAAGAAGAGAAATAGCTAGGGATCAAACCTCTATATAACGCCTCCATTTGCTATGCCCAGACGCTAAGAAATGTACCGGAAGAAAGGCTGCAAAAAATATGATCCACCCAACTGCAAGGATTGCGACTCTACACAAATAAAAAAAACGTATTCAATCCCAAATTTGTATGTGTGCGTGGCATGTAAGAGTAGAAATCTAATGTGAACAAAGAATGCAAATAGCTTAAATTTCAAAACAAGAATGTTAGCTGGCCTTCATTTTACAAAACATGACTCCAAAATACAAAGTTTTCATAGAAGGTAATTCATAATGCTTTCCAGACAAATCACATCTCTAAGCACGCCATGTCGCCACAATTACAAAATTTCTCACCTTAATGGAAAAAGAATCCCATATCTGAACACCACCCCCATGCACCACAAAGGAAACAAATATACATTCCAATTCCATGGCTCAGGAGGATTCGATTTAAAGCAGCGAGTGAACGAATCCTACAATATCCAAAAAAAACAAAAAGTAATTCAGAGCTAGTCGGCGTAAAAAATTCGGTTATTGCTAAGCACAATGAACCAACAGAAATCCGAAGTTCTATATCCAAAAGCTAAACTCACATCAACGATTGCGCCCGCAGCCTCGGTTAACGTCGGAGCTATGTCCAGCAAATCCTTCCTACTAACCAAAAATCTAATTAGGGCTTGAGAATTCAGAAGACGATGTCTCACAAAACTCCAAACCAAAACCAAAATCTAGAGATAGAGAAACGAGGAAGGTACAGTTGGAGCTTCTTGGAAGGCTCTTGAATAGAGTCAGACGAGAGGTAATCCTCTATGTTTAGACGTTCCAGATCGACCTCCGAGCTCAAAGCCATGGTGGAATTCTTGAGAAAGACGACCAGAAGAGTTCTATCGTTTGGCCCTATCGTGGGCTACGATCCTATCAACGGAAAATCCGCCAAAAAAGTTCTTGTTTGGTTTTAGGAGTCCTAAGTGAAATATTCAGGTAACGAACCGGTGGGCCCTGTTGGCCCGGTCCGGCCAGTCCCTTCGGCTTGTTCTCAAGGTTTTGTTTTAAAATGATCTTAACTTCTTGTAAAATATTAAAAATAATTTTAAATTATATAACAAGATCATTTTTTTTTTAACTCTCATAATATATATCTATTTTAATTTCTTTTTAAATTAAAAAAATAAATTATCCTTTAATATAATTTTAAATCATTTTAATCCTTAGTAAAAAATCAAATGATCATTTTTCTTCTTTTTTTTTAATATGTTGCTTGTTTTAATAAACTTGGACAGTGAGATATTGAAATTATATTGAAGTTTTCATTAAATTATGTATATTACAATAAAAAACAATAGTGCTTAATATAAATAATGATTTTACAAAATTAAATGAAATATTATTAAAAAGATATAAATGTTCAGAGCTTTTGCAATTTAGGTTAGATGCAGATGGCAACATCAACACTATTGCATTATCTTTAAATACAGTGCAAAACAATATCAATGACAACGAAATTGTGAGCAATAGGAGTCATGCTAAAATAGATTTATTGAAGATTTAAAATTATAAAACGCCAAATAATGCTGCGTTAACACTGTTGAATGTAAAGCTTAGATTTTGAACATAAATTAATAAATCAATTGAAGCCAGAGCTGTCAGAAGAAAATCAATTAAAATTAATATTTCATTTGGGACTTTTTTTTTTTTTTTTTTTTTTTTTTTTTTTTTTTTTTTTTTTGCTATTTTATGAAACAATTTTTTAGCATAAATTTTTTTAAAATTTAAAATTTATGTACTAAAAAATTATTTCATAAAGTATTATAAAAGTGATCCCAAACAAAACCTGAGATTCCATTTGAGATGACTTTCTCATTATTTTTTAAAATAATTTTTTAATACAAAATAAAAAGTATCCCAAACAAAACCTAAATTTACTATAAAAAATAGCTCACCTTAGTCTAGTGATGTTTGTTTGAATTTATTTTAATTGACCAAGTATCTTTAAAAAAAATGAACTTTCCAAAAGGAATAAGCTGCAACAACAAATTTGGTACCGCGGCACGTCACCCCCTACTCAGTACTGTGGCTCGGTACCGCTCGGTACCGCTCGGTACTGCTCGGTACCGGATGACGTGACTGCACCTGAATCGCCTCTGGAATGTAAGCTGTGTCCGGTGTCCGCACAGAATAATCTCCCCACCATACATTAGCTATCAACCCTCGGAAGTTATACATTGAGATTAGTGATACATCATTTTCCACAAAGGTACATGAAATGAAACTGATGCCCTGTTGAGCTAAAGAACTAGATATGGCCATTTGTTTACCATATGTTCATCGCTTGCCCATGAGATGGATGCTATAGGCCACTGCTACTCCTACAATTGCAACACCTGAAGCTATAATCTTTGGTCTGGAAAGGGCAGCGCTCCTACTAGGAATTTGCAAGAGAAGCTTCAACTGTAATAGATGTCACAGGGGCATAAGGAGTAAGAAGAGTTCTGATTAGAAGTTGCTTTAGGCAATATTAACATATAAATAGCTAAATTACACCAGAAAACTTGCATCAAGTGTCACAATTATTCTAACTGACACCAAGAAAAATACTGCAAGGCATTAGCTCAGTCTAGATCTTGGGGCTGTAAACAATAGTTAACACCTGTGAGTGGAGATTACACTCACATGATCTAAATTTGTGAATGATAAAAAGAGAGAGATCCGTTGCCTGAAGCTCCCAACAATGCGGTGTTTGGAGAGGGGTTGATATAAGAAGTCTTAGGCCTCATTGTTTCGGCGTTTGTTTTCCTTTCTGTTTAGAAATGGAGAAATTATTTTATGGTCGTTGTTTGGATGGGACGTTTCTATAGAAATGCTTTTTAGGGAACTTCATTTTTCTATTATTTTGAGAAACTTTTTGATATTTGCTTCTTATTTAGTAAACTCAATTCCCTTAACTATTTTTTCTAAAACTATTTTTTACAAAAGGAGAGGAAGAACCAAACGAAGCCTTACTTGCCCTCCATTCATAAGTTGTCTTCTTTACTCGACATATAGATTGTATATTGGAGACAATTTCAGACATTACAATGTTGAAAACTTTACCATTTTTACAGGCCTAAACTCTTTGAACTCAAAAGAAATGTGGAACATGGAAATTGAACTCACATCTACAGGCTGCTTCCAGTTCTTCCTTATTCCAAGCAAATGCCCTTTACCCACAACTGCAACAACAGAAGAGTGTTCACTAGCTACTTTCAATAGCGTTGAGGACATGTACCTGATTACCGCATAAGAAAAAGAACAGCTTGCTTTGAGAAAATATATTGAAAACTAATATGCACAACGCATTCATGTAAGAGATCGAAACAAAGAACATTTAAATGATTAACTTCAGATAAATAGAATTAAAGAAGTGTAGAAGGACGAAAATGATAAAATTAAAAGAGTAGCAAAGAAAAATGATCCTCTTAACATCTCATCTTATAGGTCTCTTTTAATTGGTTATTTTGCAAGATTTAGACTTCGTTTGGGACGACTTTTATCTTACTTCTTAAAACAACTTTTTAGTATAAAAATTTTAATTTTGTATTAGAAAACTGCTTTATGAAGCATAAAGAAAACCGTCCCAAATGAAGCCTTAGTAAGCAGAGCAAAATTCATAGGAGGCAAGTCCAATTTTTTACATGTGCCCACAACTATGATGCACCGACACGGCACTTAGAGAGGGTATGCAGTGTCGGACACGGACACGCGTCGGACACGGCATGGACACGTGTCCGACACGGCATTGGAGTGTCGCAATTAAAAAAATTAAAATTAAAATCGGCACAATCGTTTCTTATTATCGAGGTCGCTAGGTACATCTGCCTCGGTACCCCACTGCTCGTACATGCTCCGGTACTGTCCAATCAATGCTCGTACTTCCCCGCGGGCTTGGTACCCCATCTCGGTATCTCCTAGTACTTGCCTCGCCGCTCAGTTACCGTAGGTACATGCCCCGGCTACGCTAGTACCGAGTTACATCCGTATGCTTAGGTATAAGAGTTGCCACTTCGGTACTGCAAGGTTACAATTGCCCTGTACTCTATTCGGGTATCTTCCTATACAAAAAATACTATACGAACTTGAAACAGCAATTAAAATTATCTTACAATAAATTTTTGTTAACAGGGATGGGACTGCCCCGGAACCCCGCGGGGCGCTCCGCCTTGACCGCTACTTGACCGGGCAGGTCGAAACCGTGCGGGGGCAGCGCCTCTCCTTGACCCCTGGCAAACTGGTATCATTGTTGTCATGTTGTTCTTATTATTGGGGATATTTTGATTCACCTTCATATAATTTAATTTGGTGTATCATATGTATGATGGTTTGTATGAAAATGACTCTGCTACCGCGGGGGTGGATTAGGTGAAGGTTCAAAAGAGTCATTCTGTCCACACTGTGTCGGTCCTATATTTTAAAAATTATAATTACCTATTAAAATATGTAAAAATATCATGGTGTCGCACGCCGCGACCCACGTTCTATATCTTTTAAAAATTGGTCATGTCTGTTCGTGTCCGTGGTCCGTGTCGCCGTGTCGTGTCGGTCGCATCATACACAACACATACCTTAGGGGTGTTTTCATGTTTAATAAACAGAACATGCCTCATTTCAAGAATTCCTTAAGCATAAAGATAGTGTTTCAAAGACGGATGGGTGTTTCATACTATCTAAACTGTGTAAATTAAACAATAATAAGAGTTTTTATCAAAAGTCTATCACATTTGACACATATCTATGACTTCCAACTAAGTAGTAATTCTGAACTCGTTACAATCACTCGTCAGTGTATTACTGCAAGAAGACTGATGTTTTCCTTTTCAGATCGCAAATCTTAGCCTACTATGATACATAATATATATATATATATATATAAAGAGAGAGAGAGAGATAAAGAATTAAGTGCATTTTTAATTTTCAAGTGCACAGGCTTAGGCATTTAAATTCCAAAGCTGTCGGTATCTTGAGTTTACCATTAATATTGCTAAAAAGGGAAAACATGTATTTATGCTTTTATCCGTATAAAATTACAACTTTCGTGGGCTATCTTATAAAATTGGAACTTTCTTGTGGGTTAAATTATATGCTCTGCTCCCATGTAATTGGTAAAGAATTGAATGCTAAATTGTCTTTTATGAGTATACATTTTTTGCCATGCATTCTTACTTCAGCTCTTTTTAATATAGAACAATAAGTTAGGTATAAGATGCAGGATATCTTAAGATATAAGGTCTAGATGATCTAACGGATGAAGATCGAATAAAACATATTTGGGATTCACAGTCTCAATACCACAAACTAAAACAAAAACACGTCCTCTTTGAATGTAAATCAAAAATTGCGAAAAATCTATGGGAAATGATAATTTAATAATCATCCCAAAACAAAGAAATTCAGCAAAAAAACAAGGCCATAAAAATTAAAACTCGAATGGAATTTTCACTGCAATCAATAAACCAAATTTGTATCAAATTTCATTATATACACCAAAAAGCTCACAAAACCAAATAACAAAACATACAGAAGAGAGATACAGAAAAAATAACACTCGTACCGGTACTATAAAATTGATAAATTCATTTGCACGGCACTCAAAGACATTCACACCCAACCAAGCACGTAAATTAAAAAGAAAATTAAACTTTTATTCAGCTAAAAGTTCCCATAACATTTCTTAGTTTATTTATAATTATAAATAATAATCAGCAAAACTCAGAGTGAGTTTGAATTTCTTTAATATGACCCCTATTTTAAATGCTATGCTTCACATGTTACCCCAATTTGATCATGCTAGAACTAGATTAAAGGGCTTTTATTTAGAGGAGAGCCCAACTTTTTTTATTTTTATTTCAATCTTGGCAACTGCACACAATGATTTTGAGCGTTAATGTTGAAAATTCTGTCATTTCTTAAATAAACTCTTCAATAATCTTATTTAGATATGTGCAAACAACCAATTATCTAACATGCAAATAAAATAATTGAATTTTGTATTCTAGACCCACCCTTGTGTGGTCGAAAAACCTTATCATGCTTAACATTTAACTATGGCTAAAATAGGGCCATTCCTTCAAGAACATATATTTTCTACTCTTATCTTTTTACATTCAAAACAGCATCTTCTGATTAGCATCCTAATCATCAACATCATGTGTGCCTTTTTTTCCAATAACCAGGAAAAAATATTATGAACTTTCAACTGGTTTATATATAGGTATTTTCAAATTTTAATCATGTTAGACTAGGAAATGTTTATTTTTAAAAACTATCCAAAAATAGTTTACATAAGCATGGCTTATCCTGTTTTGACCAAATAGCATGCAAGTGCTAAATTAATAAAAACATAGCATTATTTATCTTTTTTATGTGTGTGCGGAATATATGGATATGATTGAAACATTAACATCGAAACATATAAACAAGAAATTATTATAATTTTAAAAATAAAAACATAATCTATGAATGTTTATATTAGATAAAAGTTAATGATATTATTTTTTTTCCTATCCGACTTTGTGACTAACACAATTTCTTAAAGGATTCATGTCATTATTGTTCGACAAGTTTTACGCTGGCTGTCGACTACTTAACTCAACCCTCGACTTTTCTCATCCAGGACAAGGATCAGCCTTAAGCCCATATCTTTTTGCTTTAGTCATGGATGTTCTCACTAGACATTTGCAAGAGGATGTACCTTGGTGTATGCTTTTTGCTGATGATATTCTTCTTGTTGATAAGACTAGAGAGGGAGTTGAAGGTAAACTTGAATTATGGAGGTCAACCTTAGAGTCTAAAGGTTTTCGCTTGAGTAGATCTAAAACGGAATATATGGAGTGTAATTTTAGTAGTAATAGACCTAGTGAGGGGATTGTGACTTTGGGCGATCAAGTCATTAATAAGAGTACACGTTTTAGATATCTTGGATCTATTGTTCAGAGTGATGGTGAAATAGATGGGGATATTATCAGCAGAATTCAAGTTGGATGGTTGAAGTGGAGGAATGCATCGGGCTTGTTATGTGATAGAAATGTACCCCTCAAACTTAAGGGAAAATTCTATAAGATGGTAGTGAGGCCTGCAATGCTTTATGGTGCCGAATGTTGGCCTTTAAAAGAGAAGCATAATACTAAGTTAAGTGTGGCAGAGATGAGGATGCTCAGGTGGATGAGTGGCTTTACCCTTAGAGATAGGATACGAAATGAGCATATACGTGAAAAGGTTGGAGTAGCTCCAGTAGAAGATAAGATTAGAGAAAGTCTCCTTAGATGGTTTGGTCACATAAAACAGCGGCCTTGTGATGACCCGGTTAGGAGAGTAGAGGTATTAGATTTGACTTATGTTAAGAAAGGTAGGAGTAGACCTAAAAAGACTTGGTTAGAAAATATTAGGAATGACCTTTCTTTATTAGATTTAAATGAGAATTTGACTTTTAATAGGACACAATGGAGAAAAAAGATTCATGTAGCCGACCCCACATAGTGGGATAAAGGCTTGATGTTGTTGTTGTTGTTGTTGACTTTGTGACTAATACATCACAAAAGAATCAGCATGATACATAATGAATCTTAATGCAAATTGAAGTGAGAAACTTCTAATTCAGCCCCAACCATTCAAACTTCGAGTTCAACACAAATTGATGGGCTCAACGAGGCGAACCAATCAAACATCAAAAGTGATCAAATTCGTGCCCAAATTAATGAGCTGAAGACCAAGCACTTAAGCATAGTTGAAAACTTTGAAATATTAATTGGATAACCAAATAACATCTAAATGTTGCATGCTTATAATTAAATCGACCATTTCTTTGAGACTAATCCAACGAGCCCAATATCACTTAATTCCAACATCATTAACGCACATAATGTTGAAAGAACAGTCTATGATCATCATCAACAACAATAACAACATCAAGCCTTTATCCCATTACGTGGGATCAACTACATGAATCTTTTTTTTTCCATTGTGTCATGTTAAGAGTCAAATTCTCATTTTAAATCTAAAAAAGAAAGGTCAAATCCCCTTGGCTTAAGATTCACGAGAACTAAGAGACTTAAAGAATTATGAAGCTCTGCCCAAGCACCACCACCGTCAAACTACTATCATACCACATTCACCATCATCAAACCACCACCACCGCCATCAGACTGCAGATATCAAACCTCTATCGTCAAACCACCATTGGTGAGCCGCGGCTACCCGACTTAATCACTAGATCATTATTGTCAAACCACCACTATCCGACCTCCACTGTTGAACCCCCGCTATCAAACCGCCACCACCTGACTATTGTAGTTGGACCAACGCTACTTGACCTTAGTCATCGAACCACTTCCATCAAACTATCAACACCCAACCTCTATCACTAGACCATCGTTGCTAGACCACCATTGTCGCGTTGTTGTTGCCCGACCTCCATTGTCAAAAATTGCTATCGCAATAAGATCGCAACCACTAGAGTGTCATATCATCGAACCACAATCACACAACCTCTATCGTCAGACCATCACCATCCAACCATCATTGTTGAACCATCGTCTGACCTCCGTCATCAGACCACTACCGCTCAACAACCATCATCTAACCATCGTCATTCAATCACAACGTTTGAAGGCCACTTATACCTTACTAACTCTGTAATATTTTCCACCAGCAACTCATACTACTGTAATCTCGCCTTCTCCAATTTGAGGGCCAAGTGAATCTTAGTAATCAATGCTCATCTATTAGAATTATTTCAGCTAGGTCGGGCCCCATAATTTTTCCTCTACTTGAGTTTTTCATGTAAAACTCTGGTGTCCCTTACATTCATTTATTGCCTGTATGTGGATTAGATCTTTGTACAAAGTTACGGTGCAAAACTCTTACTCTACTACCATAAAATTCTAGCACACAACAATACCATAATAGAATTATCCCTAAATAAAGGAACCATTAGTTATTGATGAGTTAACACTTGAACAATTTAATAATCACCGATATATGGTATACCATGGGAAAAACATTTAGTTTCTAAAATTGAACCCACATGCCATTCGATTGTAAGACATTAAAATATTTGATTAAGCATTTCTACTTTAGTACAATGTAAATGAGATTAAATGTAATTTTTTTAAAATAATTTCATAGTTTATTAAAATAATTTTCCTTGCAAATGACGATATACCTGTATACATCAATTCTGGATAGGACTAAGATTAAAAGATATTAGAGTATTATATTGCAACCCATTTTTTTCAAGACTCAAAAATAAAAATATTATTCAAAATTTTACTAGATTAGACAATTTAATTGATAACATTCATCATGATTTAGTTCCTAGTGTCTTGAAGACCTGTGCCCCAATTTTTTAGCAACTATAAAATGAATTTTCAGCTACTGATTCATAAATCCTGTAGCTACTAGTCCGAAGCAGACACAAAGTGGGAACCATTTTAGGCACAGTAAACAAATTCTCAAAAAGTATATCAGTTTTATCCTAAACGAAGGATTGGACATTTACGCATCTAAAAAAAATCCAAGCAACTAGGAGATGCTGATTTTTAAACTAATAATTAGGACCGTTGGCAAGGAGCAAAGATATATTTGGCCCGCGATAAGTGGAATTCCTATGCAAATTATTCAAAACTCTAAAGATTTTTATAGCAGTAAGCATTTTTTTTTAAAAAAAGAGAGCATAGTACGGATTCACAAAAAAAAAATCTCATATAAAAAAAAAAATAAAATACAAAAAACTGCCACGAAAGGCATGCAGGCACATGTAACATCACCCGCTACGTTTGAACAAGCATGATTTAATCAATATACACAATATCATGTACAGCTATTTTAAACAACTATAACAGATATGTAATTTTATTTAGTTTTGATTTGGTAAAGCTTTTGATTATTGCTTGGTAGTAAAAACAGTCAACAATTAGCAATGTTTGTTTGGATGATAAACTTTTTCCATGCTTTCCAAGATATTTCAATTTCTAAATAAGATGTTACTTTTGGGATAGCATAATTGAAATTGTGTATTAAAAACTAGCTATCGACATCAAAAGTAAAAAAAAAACATGGATTCCTCAAACGAAGGAATAATAAACTAAAGCCATAATTCTCTCAACAAGAGATATCTGAAAAATGACTTTTTTTCCATTAAGCCATGACAAATACCTCCTAAAATAAGTTCACCAAAACATATTATATATGAATGAGAGAGAATATGGCTTAGTTACAGCTTAGTCTAATTATCAAACCCAAAAAACAAAATTAGGTAAGATATCAAAATAATGATAGAAGAATGTACTAACATATCCCGCTCATGTAAAACTGTCTCCATGATAGATGGAAATGCCTTGCTCATCTCTTGAATGACTAGGGTTAGCACGTCAACGTCATCCATATCTTTCAGCTAAAGGAAGCAGAGTGAACTTAGAATAAATAAGTCGTAAGAATCAAGTATATGACATAGACTTGCATGATTAACAATCCAAATAGCTATCAAGCATATGATAAATGATCCTAGTTGCCTTAAAATACAATGCTTAGCCAAAATAGTTGCAAAAGACATTGGGGTTCGCATGGACAATAAAGAGGAGAAAAATTAACCAATTCTCGACAACATCTGATGAACATCTTAAGTAATCCAGGAAATCATCTTTACTACAGCAGCACTAGATATGGTAATGAAGATTGAGCTCTCATCAAAATCAAGGAAAATGTGTGAAGTTTGTGTAAATGTATCCATGTGAGTGGAAGACATTAGCTTTGCATAGCTCAAAGTCATAAATCATTCTCAACATGAGCTCGCCCTGAATAATTTGCTTTCAACATGAAGATGAAGATGAAGTTAATTAAGGTCATGAATGTCATATTGATGTTCTTGGACCTGGTTGAAGTAAATTGCATGTGAGATTGAAGCATGCTTTGATTTATAAGACCATAGGATATATTATATAGCAGAGTTCATGTCGGATAGAAAATCAAACATACATTATTTTCTTCATTTTTTCTATTTTAATAATTAAGCTTTTTAGTCATCATGATGCCTCGCCGCATGATATAACATTTTATAAATACTGAGGGAGCCTAAGAATTAATACGTTCTCAACATGTTATGACCAACTTTATTCTGGAATGTAAATATTCATTCATCTATGTCCAATGATAGAGTCTAATGTTCCTTCTTAGCCTCCACTATAGATTAACAATAAAAAGTCCAACCCAACACACAATTACAGTACTCAGATCAAAATTGATGGCATGCATGACTTCTGAGCCATACTATATAAAATATTGTCCATCCTTACACATGCTAGACCAAAAACTATGCTTTAGATAATGTTTGTATAAATGTACAATTATGTATTACATGGAGCATATAATGTGCTAGTGGAAAGCAGAGCCCTGCATTGGGTACCCAAACCCACATACTCACCCATGCCTGGATACACCTATGGCCTTTTGGGTGGGTACTCAACATCAAGAGATAAATCAAATTACATTGTTAATTACCATATGTTGTATATTACCGTAATCCTCACTATGCAATGCACAACACTGAATCGTGCTGCGACCATGGTAAATTCTGATATACGGCTTGAAAGTTTGAAGTTATAGCAAAGCACAACAAGCCATAAGGCCATTAGTTTGTGGCAGACTGCATTCAAAAAGCATGGAAAGTGGATGGATATGGGTGGGTACGAGCCCGCCCGCGTAGAACATGGGTATCCAACCAGGACCCCATTTCAGGCTTTGGTGGACAGCCCACATCGAACTAACTGGTAAAAAGAACTATGACCACATGCTTTCAAATAACCCAAACATCAAGGTGACTAAGCAATTAGAAGTGTAAATATCACTCGTGCCCCTAAGTGACACGGTCATATTGTGTCAATCCAACAGCTTTCTTTGACCCAAGCAGGAATCATCCTCAACGACGGTGTACTCCCACGACTACCATGACTTAAGTTTTTGGATTTTTTGATACCACTGCCATCTTGGCCTCACATTCTTCTCCAGCTTTCTCTTAAACTTCACAGCTTTTTCACTTCTTGCAACCTCCACCTTCATCACTTCTATTATGATAGCTAGACGATTGGGCGTCACAAACTTGCAATTGCACTTTGTGTACCTCAAGATTTCAGGTTTCCCCGATCACCGAGTGTGAGATCTATGGCCTTCTTGCATAACTTTTACTGCAGAACCTGCAATCTTTTGCCTTTTTTTCTTTTCTTTTTTTGCTATTGAGATTGTGGATATTATGTTAATCGGATTACGAATATATGGTTGATCATTGATGCAAATGATATTCACTGCAAATACCTTCAAAGGTAATGTGCTTGACGTGAATTTGTCATAGATCAATGAGTTGTATCTTAAGTAAGATTGTCAATTCCCTGTGAGGTTGGGCAGATCTGCACAATAGAATTCCAATTTAGTGCCAATGCTACAGAGATTTCAGTAAATCCTTTGGTCTTTGGAAGTGTAAGAATGATGGTTCCAATGAGTTTCCAAATCACTCTCCATCATATTGTCATCTACTTATATATTGACAACTTTGTCATCAACAGCCTGGTCATAGATCCAAAATCACCCCCAACTTCTATCAACCTACAAAGAAAGGCTTCAATAAAGTCAGCCTCCTCACCAAGCACAAACATGAAAATCACACGCTTAGGGATCCTTCCCAATTTCTCTTATTTCCACTTTGACTCAATCCTTTATGAGAAAGGAACATCATCTTCCTCAAGTTTTCCATTGCCAAGAGAATTATGATCCACTCATCAAGGGAGATAAATTCACGTTGTCAGCATTCAAGCTAGAAGCATCCATATGGAAGAGGAGTTTATAGATGATAAGAAGTGGGTCAGAACTGTAGATATGTACACGAAAAAATAAGCCATTCAATAGAATGCTTGAGAAGCTTGTGATGAAAGATTCAATGCAATTGATGCTTGCAACAAAGATAATGATGGGTGCACCTTATGCAGATTCAAAGAGCTTGTATGGGTCTCACAAACTTTTTCACCCATAGCAAGACTTCAACTGTAAGGCTCAGCTTAAAGCAATGAGCTTACACAAATTTTAAAAGATCGCAAATGATTGGACAAAGAAAAAATGATATGTATCAAGATTTACATTACATCATAAGGACCAATTTGAAACTTCTAAAAAGGGTGTCATATAAAACTCAAATGAAAGACGAAAGTTGCATCACATAAGTTCAAACAACAACAAGCCTTTATCCCACTACATGGGGTCGGCTACATGAATCTTTTTTCTCCAATGTGTCCTATTAAGAGTCAAATTCTCATTTAAATCTAATAAAGAAAGGTCTAATATTTTCTAACCAAGACTTTTTAGGCCTACCTCTACCTTTCTTAGCATAGGCCAAATCTGATACATCTACTCTCCTAACAGGGTCATCAGAAGTCCGACATTTTACATGACCAAAACATCTAAGGCGACTCTCTCAAACCTTTTCTCCATTGCATCACATAACTTAAATTACAAAAAATTTAACTCTTAGAAAAAGGACCTCTATGAAGATTGGTATATTAGAAAATCACTAGGGGCTATAATGGATTATTTTTAAAAATTTAGCTGAATGTAGAGTGAGTTTTATGATTTGGTTCTAAGTGATACTTATAGTTACAAGAAAGATAGTATAGCTCATGCACATAGCCAAGTGCTTTCTACGGAATCTCATTACCATCATCTGCATCCAAGTGCTATATTCATAAACTAAAAAAGATGGAATAAAGGAAGAATGGGCGTCAACCTTCCTATTACAAACATGTGAATCATCTAAATTCAAATATCCAAGTTTAAAAGAGATATTGGATCATAAACATAACCAATCTAATTTAAGAGAATACTATAAAATAAAAACAGAAAAAAAGGCATTCTTCATCACCTTCTTCAATCCCATTGCAAGCCTCAGTTCAGTACTACTAGCAATGAAGTTCTTAGACAGGAAGGATTGAGAAGAAATACAAAAGAGGGCAGTAATTATATGCACTATCCATTCACTTCGAAGTGTTACTTATTTCCTTAATTTGATATCACTGGGTATGAAGAGTCTAGGGGTGCAAACGAGTCGAGTCGAGCTCGAGCCAGGGGTTGTTCGAGTCGAGCTCGATTACCAGAAATCGAGCTCGAGCTCGAGCTCAAACTCGAGTCGAGCTCAAAAAACGAGATCGAGCTCGACTCGTCCCATGCCGAGCGGCTCGTCGAGCTCAATTCGAGCTAAAAATTTCATCGTGTTCGTTGTCGTGCCGAACCCCGTCGTCGTCAGATCCGCTTTCGTCCCAAGGTCCGTCGCCGACGAGATCCGTCCGCCCAAGCTCTGCCGTCGAGACATGTCCGCCCGAGCTCGCCGTCGCGTCCTGAGCTCCGCCATCGAGACACATCCACCCGAGCTCTGCCGACGAGATCCATCCGCCCGAGCTCGACTCTTCATCGTCCTGAAGCTTTTTCGTCAAGATCCGATTCCCGAGCACGTCCAATTGTTGTCATCCCGAGCTTCGCAGTGTAGATACGTTCGCCTGAGCTCGTTCGTAGTCATCCCGAGCTGCGCCGTCGAGATCCATCCGCCTGAGCTCGTTCGGAATTGTCCCGAGGCTCTGCCGTCGAGATCCGTCGTCCGGAACATGTCCTTCATCATCCCAACTCCAGAGTACATCTGTTCGTCGTCGTCCCAAGCTCGTTCACGTCGCCCAATCGAGCTGCTCGTCGAGCCGACGAGCCGAGTCTGAGCCCTATTCGAGCTCAAGCTCGATAAGCTATCGAGCTCGAAACTGTGTTCGAGCTCAACTCACGAGCTCGATAAGCTCAGGTCGTCGAGCCTGTTATGGAGTCGAGCTCGAGCCGGCTTGACTCGGTTGCACCTCTAGAAGAGTCCAAAGCCAAGCAATTTTAGTATGGGGCCAACTAGAATAAGAACAGCATAGCTGCTGAATCCTTGCTTTACTTTCTACAATAGGCAAAAGGTTATCTGTCATTCTATGATTGTAATTTATTTTCCTTTGTTTCCTTGAAACACAAACAGCTCTTCATATGTTCAAAATTAACCAATAGGTTGGACATATGTCAAAAGAATACACCAAAACAGTAGTTTGCTTATACAAGTGGAAGAAGCCAATTTGAACATTGCTCATATCTTGGTTACATCTCCTTTGCTAAAAGTAGAAAAAATGAATTGCTGGCAAAACTCCCAAGTATTTGTTCAATCACTCAATTATAAATATTGAAAAGAATACGCTAAAATGACGAGGAGAAAGAGTGGTGGATAATCTCCACCTTTATGACCTAATCAAGAGAGGCTGTGTAACCTACTCTATGATATACGTTTTTATTAGGCCATCCTCCTTTCAAACTTCAACACTATAACACTTTATGGACTTCCTAAGGATGGCATGAACACGTGTTTGACATACATGTTTTTGTCCAGTCTAACTTGATTTTATAGCAAATAAATGTTCGTCCAAATTAACTCACTCTCGTCTTCCTGTTATCATTTATCTTTGTAACATTAGCATTTATATGTTTTCAACTATATGCTAGATAATATGATCACACTCATGTTTAAATTTCATATGAATGGTAGTACTTAAGCTATAAAAGTATAAATATGTCCCATGATCATGTACCCGAATGAGGTGTATTAAATTTCATGTGAATAGTATTACTTTTAGTTATAAAAGTATACATATGTCCAATGTTCATATGAATAGTATTACTTTTACTTATAAAAGTATACATATGTCCTATGTTCATATGAACAGTATTACTTTTAGTTATAAAAGTATACATATGTCCAATGTTCAAGTATTATGCCATATATGCTATATTTTTCAAAAAAAATTGTCATGTTGCCCTTTTCATGTCTACATCCTAAGCCCATCTGTGGCATAGTCCATCATTCTCCAATGCTTAAATGATCATGACGACTCCAACTTCATTACTTAGAAATGAGTTCTTGTAAAACAAATAATTACCATTGGACACACTTGAAGCTTACTACAGAAACTCAGCTCCTACAGCTTACAAACACTAAAACAAAAAAAAGGTTATTAAACCATAAGAACCCACACTACAAGACGCATCTATCCCACAAGATTTCCTTGGTCAATTTTACATCCAACAAATTTCACAATCTCACTCATTGTCAATTGCTTCCAAGATGTGATGATTAAGACAGAAGGAAGAACTTGGATCATATAAAAAACTCAAAAACCGTTCAGACAATCTAAATGCATAAAGTACCTATTGTTTATCATTCCAAAGGCAAATATTTTTAACCTAAAAGTTATACGGATAGAGACAATGTGCAATAATCTGCAGAGATGAGGAATAAACAGATGTGAGGAGAAATTGACAAAATAAGACAAAGTTAAAGAACTAAAAGTGAAAAAACCCTTTAAAAACTTCCTTCTGAAAGCATTAAAGTGATATAAGCTGTTGCATAAACAAAAAAGTATTATCAAATTTAACTAGTACATTAAGCAAAAACATGATAGCAAAGAAAAATATAATGATCACTTACCATCTTATTGAGATCTTCGGGGCTTGGCAGAAAAAATGTTTGAAAGATTATGTAATATAAAAATTTTGCCCTGTGCCATATTGACATCTTCCCCCAGGTCCTCCGTAATGTAATCTGGTGAAACATTCATAACAAAGCATAAATATAAAAACACCATCATAGACAATATTATATAGTATTGCGAAGGTGCAAAACATAAATGTAATGTCTATGAGACAGACAATAAAATTCAGATTATTTAGATTATATAGCAGCTTATTTGGAAATCCCCTCCCGCTCTCCCTCATGAAAACTGGTCTTGAAATAGATGAGAGGTACAAATCATAGCACAAAAATAGAAATACTATCACAGAAAAAATATTATATTTGAAGAACAATTACAAAACTTTGAAATATGCATACCACAATTAACCAAAGTTACCAAACAGATAGGACAGTTCTATAAAACACACACAAAACAGTGAAGATAAAATTTCCTAAACATACATCTTAATAGACATAAATATGCACACAGATGGAGCAATGTCTTGGAGAATGGTGCCATACATTAGGCACGTTTATGGCATCCGTGATAATAGGAAAAAAAATGAGAATAGGAGTGCTGGAAGTCATAGCATTCAAACCACTTTATGCAATAGGCTTAACTTATTCTATGCATATACTATAATAAAAGGAGGATGAGCAAAGCAATATAGGCATCCTAAATAAAGTTTATGGAAAGACGCTTCCAAATTTATAGCAACATTCAACTTTAATCAATTGTAAAGGGTGCATCCCAATTTAACTTAGGTTTCATACATTCACAGGACGATCGCCAAGGAAAACCCTAGCACCATAACTAATTGCCTCCTCATATGCCACACGAAATTCAGCACCAGGGAAAACCTCAAGTCTCTCAGCAACCTGAAATAAAATACATAATGAAATATTTTCCCAAATGCCATAATTTGAAAAGAATAATGTCGCTGACCCTAGCGTTAAAAATAAAACAGAAGAAACCATGCCTTGGCAAGAAACCAACTGTAGAGAATTCCAAAGGTGTTCGCCTTTCTTTTCTTCCACATGTCAATCATTTCATTGAAGGTTGGAACCTGAAAAGAAAATACAGAATAGGGCTATACATCAAATGAACAATAGATGCATTAAAAAAATATCCATCACAGCATAGGCACATACATTAGACATACAAGATATGCAATCATACTTATTGAGGCCATAGCGCCTAGCAGTCACGCATGGCATGAGCGCCTTGTGCTTTGCCAAGCAATATATGTCAAAATACAAGCACCACATTAGCGCCTTAATAAGGCCTCCGCTTAAACACCAGAAAACTGAATTAAGAACCATGTTTTATCTTCGGATATCCTAAATGACACAATTTTTTGTTAATGTTGCTGCAATCTTATAAGGTATATGTAATGCAATATAAACATATCAACAATTTGATCCTTCTAACTAGGCTATATACATTTCATTATTTTTTTCTTTATACCAAAAAACAAAAATCACCACCATTCATTTTTCTTCATTTGACATTCTCATGTTGCAAGTTTGGAACTTCAATTGTGTGCCTGCTCTTCATCTTCCTTAATTGCCAGGGCAGTAATTTGCTCCTTCCAGTATTATATTACTTTCTATCTACTTTACTGGCATGTTTTCCAGTGAATCTCTTGAATTATAAAGCCATACTGCCTTTTGAGTTTACATTAATAATTAAATTCTACATTTTAGGCTTAGCTTGGTACGACTATGATGATGTGTTTATGTTATACTATAAAAAATAAAAAGATCATACTCTTGCATAGAAAAACACAAGCTGAACCACAAATCAGTTAATACAGTTATAAAGTCATAGAGAAGGTGAACATGCATAATGATGATTTTCTAAATATATTTGTCATATCAACAATAAACATGCACAAAAAGTTAAGTACAAGAAAGAAACCAAATGAAGCCTTAATTCATTTGATTTACTACAGACAATGAATGTGTAAGGAATTTCGTTCATTAAGTTATTAAAAACAAAGCTACTTACATCTGGGCAATCAAATTAAAAAAAATGTTGCATGCCAGATATTAGGTTGTTACATGCTATGCAATTTAGATGAATTTTCCAATATTATATTTATTATTTACATAACTCAACCATCATCATTGTGTTGAAAAATTGCAAATGTCCTTTTTTTTTAGTGATGTTAAAATATTTGCTAGAATTATATATATCATACCTTTAAGAAATTAAGACCTTATTTAAAAAAAGGTTAGCGAAAGTATTAGAAATTGTATTTTCTTATTAAATTTAAATGAGAATTTGATTCTTAATAGAACACAATGAAGAAAGAGGATTCATGTAACCGACCCCATGTAGTGGGATAAAGGCTTAATGTTGTTGTTGTTAAAAAAGGTTACACATTTTCTTGTGGCTTAAATGATTTTGGGGCCTTGGCACCTTGAAGAAGCATAGTTGAGCTTGAGGACAACCACCTCCACATATATATGGGAAAGGTAAAGTTAAAGAAATATATTATTACAGGTTTAATTCATGAAAACATGGGCAAAATCATTATAGTCTATAAAAAATATGTAAAATTTCTTAAAATTATACCATCTTCACAAAATCAAAAGCAAGCCAGTCCACTTCACTACTAGTACTCAACACTAGAACAGAACATTAAATTTTTTAAGATTGGTGGGTCATCATTATCTCATCATCATCATTACTTATCCCAAATAGTTTCAAATTTATGAATCCTCATTTTCCATTCATTCATAGTAAGTGCTACATGAGATGTTAAGCCTACTCTTGGCAAATCATTTTCAACAAGTTATATACTTATATTCAAATTGCCATTAGTCTGACCTTTTTCACAACTAATCATTCAACATGTCTAATGGGTGTATTTTCTATCCATTATTATACATATCTAAATATCGAAGTTTATTTTTAACTACCTCATCAATAATATATACCAACTCCAACCATTCCTCTAGTATAATTATATCATAATATATCATTCCAAATCTTTTCACATCTATTTTACATTTTCATTTCCACCATGCACAACTTATCTATGATTTTTTTTACTATTCAATTTAGATCCATACAACATAACCAACTTAGTTGTAGTTTTATACAACTAACCTTAGAGACTCTATAATATCCTCTTACAGTCCAATACTCCTAAGCCACTTACCCATTTTAAAAATCAAACTTAATTATAAAAATCACATCATCATTTATATTTAGATTCTTTGATCAGTTTTATGTAATAAATCAAAGATATAAAAATTTCTTATGCCTACTTTTTGTTTGACAGATGAATCCAAAAACTAAGCCAATGTATCATTATGAATTCAATGATATTTAAATTGAATTTCAAGGTGTGCCAATAATAATCGGCTGAACTTATACGTGCAACAGAAAACCAAGCAAATTTTATGTAGTAAATGCAGCATACGGATTATCTGACAAGATGGAATATGGCCCTATGCTAGGAAATGCAATGACGCTGCAATATTGAGCAAAAGTTTCAAGAGAAAACACTAGCACAGGATCAAAACCAACAAATAATCACTAATATCACAGCGTGTTTATCCTGTCAATTGAATATTAGTTGTTGCAGCTCAATGGAAAAGAACTGCAATTTTGTTTATAATTTGTTGGAATACTGGCGAGGACTATCAATTATAAAGTATGATGTCAGATCAGTTTTCCAAAACTGATCTTGTATATATTGGTAATTTGTTTGCGGAGATAGACAAAACTATTCTCTTTTGAATCATTTAAACTTCTTGTTCTCCACCTAACTTTTTCTATTCCCTAGCAAGTGTATGAAGGGCTTCTTGGAATAAATCGTAGACAAAACCTCAAATTAGAATACAAGCAGCTTCTAGAAATGAAAAGACTTGAAGATCACAATTGTACTGTCGCTTTCATTAGTTTTTTAAGCTCCTTTTGTAAAATTGAACGGCTATTTATAGCATTCACCCTTTAAAAAAAAAAGATGCATAGGTCATAGCTAATTCCAGGCAAAACTGAATTATACACGCACAACAGTCTTCACTTCATAGCAATGTATGTCCATGGATTCACTCTCAGGGGATAGCATGTAAAAAACAATATATGAAAATTTCTTGTAAAGTTTCTATAACACCATTGATTTTATGATTGCAAATATATCTTGGCAGAATTGATAATCAACACAAATCTGGTCACCTAAAATGATATATTCTTATTAAGTCATTACCAAATAACATATCTGAAAATCCAGTGTTAGTTATCAATCCACCATGGTAGCACCAGCCAATTAACCCAAGATGGCATTTTACATGCTTTTGCTTATTTATATAAGATATAATCATCTTTATACAGTCTTACTAATTCTATAATACAAATAATACTTCTTTTAAATTGTATCACGGAAAAGGTCAAAGAGAGTAGGGCCAACAACCCAAAGATTGCCCACGAATAAGATTGGAATCAAACAGAATCCTATTTGGTTCTTTGTTACTCAGATACAAAAAATTCAAATTTGTTACTTGTTCTAAGCAAACACACAAAAATATAAGTAAGCTTTTAGGATTTCGCCAATAATAACAGATACCCGAAAAAAGTTTCACCCGTGAATACTTTGTCATTGATATATAGTTTCCTTATTCTATATCTAGTTATAAATTAAAACAAGACACATTAATAAAAACACTTTTGAAATGGTATTCATATCATATGAGATATCACAGACCTTAAGATTTTGGGGAGTCAAAATAGCTATGCGGCTTGAGCACAATTCTAAGAAAACAACCTGCATTAAAACAAGCACACAGTGAACAGCTAGTGTTAGATATACTGCATATGATGTAGCAAGAAGCTGTATTAATGTATAGGGCAGGTGACATTATGATTGAAAAAGGAAGCACCTCTGGTTTCAGGTGCCTGATGACAGCTTGAACTTCTGCACATGATTCCTGTAATAATTAATTAGCATATCATTACACAAATAAATTTATCCTCTAGAGAGGCAATGCTATCTACTTCAAAAAGAAAAAAAATCAAACAACTTTTCAGTAACTTCAAATCCAATCATAAGATTAACAATTAAAAGCTCCACAAAACACAAAAACAAGAATAAGAATCATACAACTTTGTTTGAATTGAAGGAAAATGAAGGAAAGAAAATAAAATACAAGAAATTTGTGGATTGATTTACAGCCATCGATTTCCATTTCTTTTCCTTTTAAATCAAGTTTTCAGAATCCTTTGGCTTGAAAGAATAATTGAACTACAACTTTCTTTGCGTTTGCTTGTTTGGTTGAGTAGAAAATTAGGGAAGAACTTTTTTTGTATGGTTAATGAAAAAATGAGTTTTTGTTTCTTACCATAAAGGAAGATGTGAGTTAGCTGATTATATGATAAAGTTGTCTTCTAAAATATAATGCATTTGTTCATACACACCCATAATCCAATGGATTAGATTAATCAAGCAAGAATGCGACCCTAAACTCATCTTCAGCTTGGAGTCATCAAAAAGCATCAACATGTCTCCAGCTTGGGGTCATTAGAAACTCTAAGCTTGCACAAACGAGTAGTCTTTAGAGACACCAAACTCATCTCAGACTTAGATTCATCAAAAACTTTGAAATCCTTTCAAACTTGATGTCTTCAGAGAACCTAAACTCATCCTATACTTGAAATTGCGAGAGACCCTAAACTCATTTGAGCCTTGATGTCACCAGAGAACATGAATTCATATCAAACTCGAAATTGCTAGACTTTAAAATCATCTCAGGATTAAAGTCAACAAACAACCTAAACTAATCTCAAACTTGAAGTCATTAGAAACACTGAACCCATCTCAAACTTGGGTGATCAAAGAACCTAAACTAGTCTAAAACTTTAAGTCAACCAAAGAGAGTTCAACTCATCAACTGAAGTAGTCCAAAAAAGAGTTCACTCAAAAGTTCATCCAAAGAAGAATTCAGTCCATCCATTGTCGACATCTAAAGAAGTTCAACTTATTCATTACACTCATCAATTGAAGTATCCCAGACAACAAAGGCCACTTGCAAGTTCAGGTAAAGTTGCTAGAGATCTCGTAGTTTACTTGAAATTCTTCATGATTTCTCTTTGTACTTTAATAGCTACGAGCTAACTAAGTTCATTCAATTTACAAAAAAACTTACTTGTTAAGCCCTGTCATTTAGTTTTACTTGTATAGGCTACATGTAGTCGTTTTTCCTATAGTATTATGCCTTGACTCTAACCTATAAATAGAGGGTCATAGGGAGCCACGCATATTTAATCATTACTACAGCCTAATACTGTCTTAGAATTTGCTTAAATCATCGAGCTTCTCACTCTAAATTTACTCTCACTAACTTTTCTGTCGTTTTTTTTCTTAAGTTTGTTAGTAAGATTCTACAAATATACAATTTTGGATCCAACATACTCTAAAGTGCGATAAGCATGAAAAAATACTAGGACCTCTAGCTTTTCACATGCTCGTGTCTTATACTGTCTTACAATTTAGTAAAATCTCTAACCCAATTCACTCAAACCAAACGTGCCCAATGTGAATCTGAAATTACCTGGGAAACGTGCGCTGTTCCGACCAGGTAAACGTCGCAGCGTCCCCCCTCCGTTGATGATTCACATTCCAAATGCACCACCCCCTTTGCCAAATCCTCCGGAAGAATCCTCCTCTCCTCAACCCTTCCTTCGCCAGAACCACCAATTCTCCTTTCCTCGAATCCCCTAATCACCTCATCTGCGTCAACTGGCACAGGCGCTGCAACATGCTCGGGATCTGCGCGATATTCCGTGCTTGAAGTCACCTCGCGCAAATCCGAATCCGAGACGTGGACGTAATCCTCCACCGCATCAGACCGAGGAGAAGGCTCAGCGCCGGTGGTGTGATCCATCTTCGTGGAAAAGGGGGTGAAGGTTAAGGAGGGGTTACGTGAGGCAAGGAGAGCTACCGATTGTGCGACACCTCTGGCGAAGGGTCGCCGTCGTCGGAGGAGCAGCGAGTTGAGGAGAGGAGATTTGGGCTGTCTATGACTTGCGAGTCGGATTGCGCGAAACATGCGTTGCTCTTGGTCTTGAAGGAATGAGCCGAGGGACTCGCGTACGGCTGCCGAGGAAGAGAAAAGTGTGATATCCACCGTTCATCGGTCCTTTTTTTTTTTTTTTTTTTTTGAAACTTGCTTTTGATGTATTAATTTTGTTGCTCCAAGTGTGTATGTCAAGACTGATACCAACTATTTCAAATTATCTGTAATAAGTCTTTCAATTTTAAAAAATTATTTTTATTTAATGAATAAATTTTAAATAAGAGTAAAAGTTTTAGATGTCTTGAATCTATTGTTCAAAGTGATGATGAAATAGATGAAAATATTATCAACCGAATTCAAGTTGGATAATTGAAGTGGATAAATGTATCGGGCTTGTTGTACGTGTGATAGAAAAGTCTCACACAAACTTGAGGGAAAATTCTATAAGATGGTGGTGAGACCTGCAATGCTTTATGGTGTCGAATGTTGGCCATTAAAAGAGAAGCATAATACTAAGTAATGTGTTGCAGAGATGATGATGCTCAGGTAGATGAGTGGCTTTACGCTTAGAGATAAGATACGAAATGAGCATATTAGTGAGAAGGTTGGTGTAGCTCCAATGAAGGATAAGATTAGAAAGAGTCACCTTAGAGGTTTGGTCACATGATAAATGTAGATCTAAAAAGACTTTGTTAGAGAATATTAGAAATGATATTTCCTTATTAGATTTAAACAATAATTTGACTTTTAACACGACACAATGGAGAAAAATGATTAATGTAGCCGACCTCATGTAGTAGGACATAGGCTTGATGTTGTTGTTGTTGAATAAATTCTAAAATTACGTAATATTTTAACAGTGTATCTCAAATCATAAAATTATTTATTTTTGATACATCATCAAAAATAGTCTTAATCATGTTTGAATCTTGAGTCATTTTTAAATTGAAAACTTTCAAAATTAAGCTTGGGATCATCTGAATTCCAATATCATCAAATTTATAGGCGAGTTGAACTTCTCGTCATCGACGAGATGACGACACTAAATTCAGTTCAATCCAAGCCCAACATAAAGGCTTGAAGCCTTGAAGTATATTTTAAAATTTTAGAATATTAATTGGATAACTAAATAATCTTCAAATTTGACATGCTTAGAATCAAATTGAGCTTTTGGTTTGTATGTCTATTGAGATATTTTAAAAAAAATCATCAAAATCAATTTTACTAACAAATTCAGATATAACAAAATAAAATGACAAATAACAAAATAAAAAATTGAGTCAAATAGGGATGGTCATTTAAAATTGAAAAATAGATTTAGAACCATTCCATCAAATCATGTATTTTAAATTTCTATTATTGAATTTAGTCATAATATTCGAGATTAATTTTAAAGATCATATTTGCAAAGAAGGTCATATCATTTAACAGAAATGGATTTTCAAATTAGAAGAAGCCTGGAGATTTGAACTTCATATTTGAGGCCTTAACAATGCTCATAATAACGTACAAAAAATTTATGATGACTTGATAAAACGGAGTCAACATGTCGCATTTTTTTTCAAGGTGTAATCTAATCAAGCTATAAGTGCATATCATACTCTTTCAAATACTTATATTGATTGTGTGAAATTTCTTTTCATATAAGGATTAAGTTTTTCGAGTGCAAGATAAGCCTTTAAATCCAAAACTTAAGATTTTTTTTTTTCAATTGTTGCAATTGTTGGCTGAACATAATAAAGATATAAATAATATGACACTTAAAATGCTCTAGAAATTAAGATTATTTGCACTTAACATTCAAAAGACATTAATAGAGCAGTGTCAACTACAATAACAAAATTCATAAATAAGAAGGTTGGAGATGGTTTCTTTTTTATTTTAGTTGATTAATCTCTCGTGGCATATTCATAAAAGAGTAAATGGATATTAGGATGTGATATGTGAATAAACATGTCTAGATAATTGAACTCTTTTTGGGTATTGTACATGTTTCATGGACATTAGTTGTGTCACAACTTAACCCTATAAAACTTGCATATGGAACATGTCCTATCATGTTGACTTGCAACTGACCAACCTAAGATTGATGTTTTAGGACACTTTTTTTTTATTTTCTTTCTACAATTAAATTTAAATAAACAACAAATTACATAACTGTTAATAACTTCTAGTGTATAAAAAATAATTCATCCATAAATTTTTTATTTTATTTGCCCTCAAAATGTATATGCAACGCTTACACTACAGTACATGATTAAATACTAAAATACATAACAAAGCAATTTAAATAACTATCCATGCATGACTGCACAAAAATCATAAAATGAATACATATACAAACTAAGACATATCAAGTCCTAACTCCACTACTCAACTAACTTTCCTCTCCCATACCCTGAAGTAGAATGCAGCTAAATTGTGAGCAAACACATCTCAGCAGGTCACGTTTATTTGTACATCTTTTGGTTGGGATATTGTTATCATTTTAGCTTAAAATCAATATACTGCTTCATATGATTAATGATGATCCCTCTTATTTAATAAGCTATTAATTAAATATCTTATTGTCATAATTTTTTTTATATCTTAGTGCCATAATGATGTTAAAATTGATCAAAATTAGGCTTGTCATCATTGAACATTCGCAGCAATAAAGAAATATAGAGTTTAGTGTCTAAGTTTTGTATGAATATCTAGCAAATATACATCATATAGAGCACATTACATGATGGAAGTTAGAAGAATCTAATGATATAAGAGTTATTCTCATGAGAGTGTTGACCTGTTTGTTTAGTCAATATGATCTTAGTAGGGCAATAGTGTTCAAATGGATCATAGTCATCGGGCGATGGTGATCAAAGGGATCGTAGTTATCGGTTGATGATGGTCGAAGAGATCGTATTAGTCCAGCGATTGTGGTTGAAGTGATCAGGCGGTGGTCGATGGCTAGGTAGAGGTCCAGCAGTGATCAGCTGACATATGATGGTTTGGTAGAAGTCATGTAGAGATAGGCAGCATGGAGATGGTTTTATGATATATCACTGGCAGGTGATTGTTGGGCGGTGGTCAACTATCAGGTGGTAGCCCGATGATGTTTTGGCGAAAGTTCGGCAGAGATCAACGGGTGGGCAGTGGTCCGGTCGGCCAACGAAAGATCTCCAACGATTGTGCTTAGGTGGAGCTCTAGGATCCTTGAAGCCTCATATCTCTTTGCAATATCCATTTGAAATGTCTCTACTCCCATGATTCATGTAGAAAGTGATGATGATCTATTTATAAATTGTTATGAGTGGCACAACTCATAAATATAGAGATGATGCAGGGCAGATTTGGAGTGCTCTATTGGATGACCCATATTGATTCCCTTGATCATGAAGTGATCATCAAGCATTTATGTGTGCTAATGATGTCAAAATTAAGCGACCTTAGACTCGTTGGATTGTCTTGTCAAGCCGGTACATTCGACTATAAACATATATACTATAATTGGATATCATTTGGTCATCACATTTATGCTTTGAACCTTTCAAATGTGCTCAAGAGCCTTGGTTTGGAACTTTTGGACTTAAATTGGACTGATTTTGATGTCGTTTGGTTACTCTTCTTGAGACATCCTATTTGACTATAAGTTCGTTGAAATTGGAGTTTGTATAGTCCCAATTTTAATTTTGGAAGTTTCTAGCTTAAATATATCTTGAGATTCGTGCTAGATCAAGACAACTTTTGGTGACGTATAAAGGCTCAATAAATTCATCACAATGTAACATTTGTTTTAAATAAATAAACAAGCAAGATTTGGAGTTCACATGATTCCATAAATTTATTCTAAAGTTTCAATTTTGAATTCTTGGAGACTTTGAGATTTAGAAATTGCATTAAGAAATGTGCTTTGATTGGATAGATTTTCTGATGAGTAGCCAAAGTGGGAGAACTTACAATGACACAATTTGACAAAATGACAGGTCGATATGCGAAAATGATAACAAAAATGTTACAATTCACTAAAATGTCATAAAAACTAGGTCATCAATTGAATTGTCGATCTTATTACGGAAACTCCTTCATCACCGTATTGTACCACCCTAATGAGGGTGTGTTCATCACTTCATCCCCCTACTCCATTTTGTTTGAATGTATGATTTCTAGAACAATCTACTCCATTTCTAGAAGAGTATATATACATAATAAGACAAAAATTATCATTTTTCCTAGTGTCAATGACAATCAAATAAGAATAATAAGCCCATTTTTATTGGAAGATCGAAGCCTCTTCATAGAGATCATAAATATATACAACTTTTCTAAAATTCAATCAATTAAAACAAAGGTTATTGACTTATTTTTATAAGAAGATCGGAACCTCGTCATAGAGATTAAGAACAATTGATAGCGCCTCTCACAACTATGCTTCACAAAAAATAAACTTTTAACCATTTTATTAAAACAAAAGTATAAAACATGAAATCAAAATAAAATCCATGATTTCATCTACATTGTGCATGACATTTATTTGATCACTCCTTGGTTTGTTTTTGCGTTTAGACAAACCTTTTCAAACTTTTTTGTGCATGGTAATACACTAAAAAAGTCTTTATCTATAGTTTTCAGCCTTTTTTGGAGAATTTTGACAATTTTTATCTAAATTAAGATGCCAATTACAATGAAAGGCGAAATTATAATTGTAGGTGTATTATTTGTTTCACAATACTAAGAGGATATAGATAAATCACAGAAAATTTTATTAAATCAAGCAAATTTTTTTATACAAATCTCAAAGCATTTAAATATTTAAGCGAAAATTTTTAACAATTAATTATGAGATAATCTGTTTTTAAATAAATTTGTTATCAAGATAATATAATTTATTAAATAAAAATCTATAAATTTAAATAATAAATGCGCTTCAAGAAGCTATTTATAACAGTGGGCATGAATTTAGACTGAAAGATGGGCTTCATAGAGTTATTTATGAACAAATTGAAAAATTAATAGGATGATTTATATATAAAATGCCTAATATTATTCTATTTACATATTTAATATCTAAAAATTTGCATAACAATTAAGAATTTAAATAACAATAAAAATGTCACTTACAGTTATGTTCATCAAAGCTTCAAAATTAATGCACTTCTTATAAGTTCTCAATCCAACCACAAGAAGATCATGTCATTACTTCTTAGTTATTGGCCTTATCACATTGTTGGTCTTGTTGGCACATTCACATGGTGTCAGCCTCAAGGTCACCTTTAGATGCTATTTAGGGATGTCAAGAAATGGTCGGATTCAAATCTAGCTCAAAATTTTTAATTTGGGTTGACCCATTTAATAAACAGGTTAGGTTCATGTTAAATTTTTCTACCAATTTATTAAACGGGTAGGAAAATCAAAAGTGATTTTTATCGGATTTCAAATGAGATCAAATTAAGCATTTTGAAGTGAAGTTAGAAACTTGGAGCATTGATTTAAGGATTAGACAATCTCCAAAATTTTCATGCTTACAATCAAATCGATTAGCTCGGTAAAATAAATTCAACAAGCCTAAAATCATTCAATTATAAGGTTAAAAAAAAAAAAAAATAGTCAAGGAGCAATTTTTTGCTATCCTGATCTTTCCTTCTCCCCCGCTTTCTGGGAGCTAGGGCTTTTCCGGAGCTTGGGTCTCCAGCAACTCTTCACTTGGGTGTCTCCCGGCGAATGCTTTTCGTCAACGTTCTGTTGTTCGTGCTTCTCTAGTTTCAGGGGAGTCTTTCATTACCTTGTTTTTCTTTTCGTGCTTTGTTTGTTTCCTGCTTCGTCCCTGCGACCCTGGTGGCCAGCATGGAGACGAAGTGTTTCTTGGATCCTTATTTTTTGGATGGTTCCAAGAAGTCGTGATCTTTTTTGGACGCTTTATCTGGTAATGTTTCAAATGTTTGTTTCCCATCTATTAAAAAGATTACATTTCATGGTTTACCTGCTGTGTGAATCTCTGAGGAGGAGATTGTTTCGTTGGCGGCACCATTCCAATTCGCCTTGGTTGGTTTTTCCCCTCCCATCGGCCTAGCTTGGATTCCATCCGAAGATTTATTTTTTCAATCTTAAGTTGTTCGCTGAATTTTATGTTACCTTATTTGATTTCTCTCATGTGTTGATTAAATTATCGAATGACATGGATTATAGTAGGGTTTTTTGCCATCTTTCTTACATGGTCTTCAATTGCTACATGAAACTTACAAAATGGTCTCCTTTCCTTAATATCATTGTTGAATCCTCGGTTATAACCATTTGGATTTCCTTCCCCAATTTATGGCCCCATCTATTCGCTCCCTATATCATTCATGCGTTGGGTTCTGTTTTTCCGCCCGCTAAAAGTTGATAATGTCACCTTTGTTGGCTCGCATCCCTCCATGGCGCGTGTTCTAGTAGAACTGGACATCACTAAAAATTATCCCAATAAAATGTGGCTCAGTCATGATAAATTGAGTTACATCCAGAAAGTGCAAATTGAAGTTTTTCATCCTTTTTGTGGTCTCTGTAAAGCTATTGGTCATGTCCGGGGAGAGCGTTATTCTATGTCTTATGTTCCCATTCATGTTACTTCTGCGAATCTTATTACCCATGTTAGGAATGAAACTGTTAATGTCGTAAATATTGTTACTAAGGTTAATATTGGTTTTGCTACCTCTAATCCATTGAGTCCGTCTATGGCTTTGGCGGGTAATGGGGTTGAGGTTACTGGGGCGATTGGTCCTTCCACGCGTTCTTCTAATGGTGTTTCCCCTATTATTCCTGTGGTTTCGATTGCTTCTGTTGGTGGGTATCCTATTGATTTGTGTGGATATGATTGTTGTGCTGTTTCCTCCTAACCAAATTGTAAATGACATTAACGAGGCCTTGCCAATTGTCGAGCCGGATGTTCCTTCATATTGCAATTTTTTGGATGGAGGTTGTTTTTTTTACTACCTCACAGTTGTGAGGTTGTTGTGGTTGGTGGACCGACTCATTTGGTCACCAACCCTATCAGTTCTCTTGACTTTAATTTTGCTGTTAATGATGGTGAAGCTGAATTTTATGATGAGGATGATACTTGTGGTACTGGGAACTGTGACCGTGTTCCTCCTGAAGCTGGGTTTTCGATGCTTAATTGTGGAGAGGGTGCTAATTTTCCTGTGCTTAAGGGGGATTATCAATTTGATGGGTATTGGGGGATTGATTGATGTCCCAATTTCAGCTATTTCTAATGTTGCCTTGATCCTGCATTTATCTTGTAGTATTAGGGATTATGAGGTCATACATGGGGATTGGTTAAATGTTGATTTCTCCCCTACAGATGGAGAGTATGAAAATTCTTTAGATTCAAGGGATAATGTTGATATGAGAAGTCTTCCCTTTGAAAATAGTAAGTAGAAAAAATGTAAATTGAAGAAGAAATGAGTTTTCTTCCGGTTTTGATTTGCTGCTGCTTTTTCGTATGGTTTATTGATATTTTCTTCTAGTATGTACGATATGCTTTGTAGTTGGATTCTCGGTTGGATGGCAATCTCTTGCTAGATGTTGGTTTTTTTTTTTTTGACTATGATGATGAGGTTCAATGTGCTACCTCTTGCGCCTAGCTTGTTGGCAACCTTGGTGGCCTTTTGTGGGATGGATTATGAACTGACACTTCTTTTTTACTGCTTTCTATGGAGGGCCCTTGCTTGGTTTGGGGTGGATGTGCATTGCTTCTTAGTCCGCTTCCTCTTCACTATTGTGTCTCTTATAATCGTTTTCATCCTTGTTTTGTTTTTATTTTTTGGCTCATTAGGTTATTTTCTGTCATGTACTGGTGCTCTTGGGTGCTTTAGTGAGCCCATTCTATATCTATGTACTTGTACTCTTTTATGTTTAACCTGGAGGTCTTTTGGGTTAAAAAAAATCAAAACACTTAAAAATGCTTAATAGATGGTTTATCATCAAATGATTTGATATGATTATGATGGATTGTTTTCAAACTTTAGCTAAATTTACATAAATATCTATACTCAAAATATTATAGACAGATCATTGTTTTCAACATAAAAGTGACTTACGCTTAGTTTGTGATAGCTTTCTAACTACTTTCTAAAGCAATATTTTAGTACAATTTTTTTAAAAAAAATTTATTAGAAAATTGTTTTAAAAGCATTAAGAAAGTTGTCCCAAATAAAACTTTAGATTTAAGTTCGAACCAAACTCGAAGATTTGAAGAACTATAAAACTTTACTTGACGTTCAACACCAACAACCATCTTATCATTCAACCATTATCATCTGACCATTATTATCCAATCATCATTTTATGACTATCATGATTAGACTTACATTATATTTTATACCCTAAACATTATATATATGTCATCATCATTCATCTCTTCTACAATCACAAGAGAACAAACTAGCACTCCCAAATTTTTTATTCCCATATTCTCTAATTTTAAGGAGAGTAGATAATTTCAAGTAGGTCTATCTTTTCAAATTTGTCATGTAAAAACATAAGTGTTGTTCACATTCACATAAATTATGATGTAAAATTCTCTTTTTATCATCAAAAATTTTATAACATGCAATAAATACAAATCATTATCATATAAATTTAATGCTACACAAAACATAAATATATATACACATTATTATATATTTTATATAAAGATATTATGACAAGACTTATTTTTTATGTATTTAATATAAATTTGAAGATGTATAATGAATTAAGTTAGAGCACAATTTCATGAATTCAAATAAATTTCTCATGATTTGATTAATTTTAAAGTAAAAAGAGAAAATAAATATATTCAAATAAATATTTAAATTTTAAAAAATATAAAATCAAAAGTAAAAAAAAAAGAATTCAATTGTGATTAAGATGATAAATATAATATTTAAAATTTTAATTATTTATTTTTAAAATACTTCAATTAAAAATGTGTTAAAATATTCTAACAAAAAATAAATTAAAATAGGTTTAAACTCCTTAAATTTACTTTGAAATAAATATAAATTGCATTGATTTCGAAAATAAATAAAAAATTTTAATATTCATCTTAATAAAAGATTGGACAGAATTATAAGATATCATGACTTAATTCATTTTGAATTATAAAATAATTAAAGTATATTTTCTATTAATATTTTTAAATTGATTCGTTAACTCGTCCAATCGAACTCAACAGACTCGCTTGACTCAGTAGGCAGGCGCATCGGTTGCTTCGCCGGTGCAATAAATCGTCGACTCTTCGGTTTCGTTTACGTCACAGCGAGACAACCGCCTCGGGAGCCTAAAAAGCTTAACCCGCCGTTATACGTATAGCTATGCAATACTCGCGAGACATGCTACCCTTTTTTTTTTTTTTTCTTAATTGTCTCTCCATTTTTCACGTGTCGTCTTTTTTTAACGTGTCATTTTTTACAATTCGGGAATTATTTTAACGACGCCGAGAGAGGGGAAGCATTGAAAAACCCCGAAAACAGCAATCGCCTCGTCTTCTTCTGATTTTCTTTGTCAATTTATCTTTTTTTTTATTGAAAAAAATCAAAATTTCAATTTTACCTCTTTGAATCGCTCTGTGGGTAATGGGTATATATGGTGGCTTGTTTGATTAATCTGATATGAGGTTAAGATTTTCCTTATTAAAATCAGGGGAAAGGAGTAGACGAAAAGAAGTCGACAGCGGAGAGAGAATAGAGACGTGAACAGGGAGTCGAACGCTTCGTTATCTAATCGCAAGCGATCCCTCATCTTCCTAAGCTATTTCTTTCCCCTCTGTTTCTTTCTCTTTCCAGGATTGTTGATGTAGATAACCTCTCTCTTCACCTAAATCTGCCGCCGAACAGGCCAACGAAAGGAATCATCGGAATCCGTGCGAATCCAGGGCTCTCATATTTTTCCGTCGGGAATCCTGAAAGAAAGTTTCGATTTTGATCCGTTATCTCGTTTTTTGGTTGACCAAAGTGATTGTTTGGGCTTTTAGTTAATGCACAGGTTGGGAAGATAAAGGAAAAAATCGATTTTGTTTTCTTCTTTTTGTTGTGGGGGAGCATAGGAACCGCTCAGGGTTATGATCGGACGCCAAAGTGTTGGGGAAGCATCAAGTGTTTCTCTAGAAGCCAGGGTTCATTCGGATTCGGTAAAGGATTTTGGGTTTGGGGATGAGGAATGATGCGCAGAAGCTGGAAGGAGCTGTTCCGAGGAACGGTAGGGGAAATGGGTTGTTTTCCCTGCGGGCTTATTTGAGAATTGTTTCATCAGGAGCCTCCACTGTTGCATCGACGGTTCGATCCGCTGGTGCTTCGGTTGCGTCCTCCATTGCTGAGCGCTACGAAGAAGCCATACGTGATCAGGTATGTTCTACAATTTCATTTTTGGCCTTTTGCATATACTATTAAGCGTGCAGTTTTTCTACATATATAATTTGATATAGCCTGGTTATTTGCTGTTTGGTTCTGGAGTTGCGAAGGAATTTTGTTTCGTCTTGTGTGCTAAATGTGGGCCGTTGGGATTCATGATTTTGTTTGAAGAAGTTAACGGTCTTATAATGAGGAAGTTCGACGTTTCTGCGCTTATGGCGTGCATGATTGGATCGTGGCAAACTCAATTATATTGCCCAGTGTTAATAATTTTGTGTTGATTTCTTTATTCTTTGATTGTTATTTGGTAAATATTTATATGAGTTGTCATAGCATTCTTGCAGGCATGCTTTTGTTGCACAGTATGATTGCTTATTTTAAATATGTTGATCTGTATTTGAAATCCATTGCGTTATATAAAGCATGTTAACCTCTATGACATCCCAATTCATGTTCCTTGTAACAACTGAAATGAGAAAGCTGACAATGCAATGATATTCTGAAAGGTGCTCTGGGCCGGATTTGACAAAGTGGAATGCATAGGTGGTGTTCTTCGGCAAGTACTTTTGCTTGCTTACCAGCATGGTTTCCAGGTTTGGGATGTTGAAGAGGCAGATGATGTGCGTCTACTAGCTTCTAGACATGATGGACCAGTTTCATTTCTGCAAATCCAAAAAAAGCCTATCTTTTCTAAAAAAATAGAGGACAGGTTTGCTGATTTTCGTCCATTGTTTGTGGTTGCTGGAGATATATCATTTGGTGGTGGGAACAATGCTGCTACTGTTAACTCCTCTCCAGGCAATGGTAGTGCTGACTTGGGCAGTGACAACCAGTTACCTTCTTCTGTGCGTTTCTATTCCATAAGGTCGCATGAGTACGTCCATGTTTTAAAGTTCAGATCAGCCGTTTATTCAATCAGGTGTGGTCCTCGTGTTGTTGCCATTTCTCAAGCTTCTCAGGTATTTTTTGTTTACAATAATTTTATTACAACATTTTGTTCAGCAAGTTGTCTCCCTAAATTAAAAGATTATGATTTGCAGATTCATTGTTTCAATGCTGCCACCTTAGAGAGAGAATACACCATTCTTACTTATCCTGTAGCTTCTGGGCTTCTTGGTTCTGGTTCGATAGGTTACGGACCGCTTGCTGTTGGCCCGAGATGGTTGGCATATAGCGGAGCTCCAGTTACCGTTCCCAATACTAACCGTGTTAGGCCAGAGCATTTATCTTCTACAGGATTGTCTTCATCTCCTAATGCAAGTGTGGTAGCACATTTTGCAAAAGAATCAAGCAAGCAACTTGCGGCTGGCATTGTGACCCTTGGTGATATGGGATTGAAGAAGCTGACAAAGTATTATTCAGAACTTATGCCTGATGTGAATGGATCAATCAAGAGTGGAAACTCAAACTCTAAAGCTAATGGAGTTATGAATGGAAATACTGCAGACATTGAGGATGTTGGAATGGTATGTAAATCTTTGTTAGTCGGCATTGTAACTTTGTTATTCAGTTTTATTGCTTCTGCAAACAGTTTATGTTTGAGGACATTTTTTCTGTATGAGTTCTTCCTTCTTTGCTGGATTAAAAGATTTTAGTTATTTGTTTATGTGTGCAGGTCATAGTTCGTGATATCATCTCGAAATCTATTATCGTGCAAATCAGGGCACACAAAAGTCCCATCTCTGCTTTATGCTTTGATCCTAGTGGAACTTTATTAGTGTCTGCTTCTATTCATGGTCACAACATAAATGTCTTTCATATTTTGCCATCTCCAAGTTCAAGTTCGTCGGTATTTACTGGAACAGGGAGTTCAGTTCACCTTTACAAGTTGCAACGAGGGATCACAAATGCGGTAGTTTCACATTAATGTTTTATCTTTTTACTGTTTAAATTATTTGTGGTACTTATTTTATAATTTCTGATACAGGTTATCCAGGACATCAGTTTTAGTGATGATAGCCAATGGATCATGATCAGCTCTTCGCGAGGGACCAGCCATTTATTTGCAATATCTCCTTTTGAAGGGACCAATATCCAGTTACAGAATGTGAATAATTCAGATGGAAGTTACAGATCCGATACTAATTATCCTCGAAATTTAGGTGCATCTAAGATTAATCACTTGAATTCTTTTTCTGGCCCCATTACATTATCTGTTGTGAGCAGAATAAAGAATGGGAATAATGGGTGGAAAGGTGCTGTTAGTGGTGCAGCGGCAGCGGCCACAGGCAAAGTCAATCCCATTTCTGGGGCTATTGCTTCAACATTTCTCAGCGGAAAGACCTCTAGCGCTTACGTAGAAGCCAACTCATTACGCACGAAGTATTACTTACTTTTGTTCTCTTCTTCCGGTTGTATTATTCAGTATGTGTTGCGTCACCTCAGCGGCGAACATTTGAGCATTGATCCTTCTAGTTTGAGCTCTATTTCTCATGGATTGCCACTAGAATCTGATTCTAGATTTGTTGTCGAGCCACTCCAGAAATGGGACATCTGCCACAAAAAAAATAGAAGAGATAGGAATGATAATATGGATGCCTATGGTGAACATGGAAATGGTGAAAATGCTAAACTGTTCCAGAAAATAGTAAAGAAAGTAAACAGTGTCTACCCCACTGATTCTCCTGGTGCAAAGTTGAAGCTCAATGGAGAAGAAAATAATCATCTCTATATATCCGAGGTTGAGTTGCAGATGCATTCAGCTCAGGTTCCATTATGGACTAGACCTGGGGTAATTTTTTTTTGCTATTTTTTTTTTATTTTGGTTTGTTTTGAACGATAATATAGTTGTATGTAGGCATGCATGAATACATTTTACCTATTATTCTCTTTTGAATGCCAGATATCCTTTCAAGTGGTGATGGATGATGTCATGAAAATGGAAGAAAATACTTCTGGTGGCGGCGGTGAAATTGAGATAGAGAAAATATCTTATCGAACAGTTGAAGCAAGGTCCGAGGATCTGAAGCCAGTTCTTGAATATGTTCATAGATCCAACTCTAGGCAATTAAGGTTCAAACTTTTGTCCTTTTAAATTTTTTTTGAAAATAAATCACTTGTGCTGGATTCTTTCGATCTTTCTTTTTAAAATGTGAACTGATACTTTCATTACTATGTGGCCAATTATAAAGACCAAAAAATTGGAAATTCAATGGTATAACGAACTTCATAGGATCAAGTTATGTTTTTATATATATTTTTGAATTATGTCACATGTTCCCTCAATTAACTAAATGTAGATAAAGGAGCTTTTATCAAACTAGTATTGAGCTGATTGTTGAGTGTATTGGTTCATTTATTGCCCAAAGGTTGGATCACAATAATGTTGGATGTAATTCACCAAAATAGGAAAGAAGTGGTAGCAATATGGTTCATGATAGAGAAGGAACGAAGACTAAGGAAAAATAATGACAACAGCTGGATGGATTGCAACAATGAAGGCTATTGGAAGGACTGTGTATGGAGTAAAAGAAGGATGAAATCTAAGAAGGAACAACAATGAAGGTTGTATTCAAAGGCTTCATTTGAGACAATTTGCTTCTTTCAAAAATAACTTTCTAATACAATAAATTCTTGTAAACAACAAAAAATAGTGGCAAAAAGCTGTTCCAAATGAAGTTAAAGGCTCAAGGTGCAGGAATATATGCGGTAATGGTTGAATCCATTCTTATGATTAGTTCCTGATAAAGTATTCATTAGTTATGTAAAATGAGAAAAACTTGAATCCGTTATTCATAACTTCAGAGAGAATATCTTTATGAATACAGAATGTAGAAGGGTTGCAAATCAAGTGAGGGAGATAGTTACAGAGATTGTTAGAGAGAATCAAACTTTCATTAGGATTCATGGGCTCCCTGCAGCCTCAGGTGAGGCTACCCAAAATAAAATAATGGGAAACGACAAGTTCAATATTACCATAGGGTTTATATGGACAGAGTTTGATGGCGATGATCCAGGGGTTGCTATTTTATTTTTAAAATTAAGGGTTATGATTTTGTTTGAACAAAATCTCAATGAATTCTTTAATTGGTTTAGACGTAAAAGTTTATAAATTTGTGAAAGATATAAAGGGTGTCTGTATAGAGTCTAAGAAAGCAATATGTGATGCAAAAGGCTTATCTTTTAATGATTTATATTATAGATTATATTAGGAGGGCAAAAGATGTATATATAAATTAGCCAAGCAAAGAGATTTAAGAAGTAAGGATTTAGTTCATATGAAGTGTTAAGGATGAAGATTAAAAAGTCTTTTATTTGAGGAGGATATTTGATAAAGATAGATAAGATATTTCGATAGGTTAGAATTAGATTGACTTTAAGTAACTTAGCACCCTCAATGAAAATAGAGATTTTTTTTAATCTTTATATTAGTAAAATTGAAGTTAGAGAGGCTTTAAAGAAAATGAAGTGTGAAAATTTTGTTGGACATAATGATATTATTCTAAGAGGTGTGAAAATGCTTAAGGAGATGCAAGAATTTTTTGGCTCATGAAACTTTTTAATATTATTTTGAAGACTAAAAAGATGTCAGATGAGTGGAGATGGAGTGTGTTAATTCTCATTTTGAAGAATAAAGGTGATGTACAACAGTGTGCACATTATAGAAAAATTAAGTTAATGTGTCATGCATTAAAAATAATGGGAGAGAGTTCTTGAGCATATGTTACAACATGATACTAATGTTTCTCAAAATCAATTTGGTAATGTCAGGTAGATCTACTATGGAATCTATACATTTATTGAGAGGTTTGATGGAGAAGTATAGATAGCACAAAAATGATCTACATATAATATTTGATTTAGAGAAAGCATATGATAAAGTTTCAAGACAAGTGCTTTGGAGAGTTCCAAAAAAGTAAAGAGTTAATGATGCTTATATTCAATTCATTAAGGATATGCATGCAGGAGTTATTACTTGTGTTCAAATACAAGGTGGTTTCACCAAATATTTTCCTATTTCAGTTGAATTACATTAAAGATAAGCTTTAAGCCCGTTACTTTTTTGCCTTAGTCATGGATGTTTTTACTAGGCATTTGCAAGAGGATTTATTTTTGGTGTATGCTTTTTGATGATGATATTCTTCTTGTTGATAAGATTAGAAATTATGGAGGGTAATCTTAGAGCATAAAGGTTTTCATTTGAGTAAATCTAAAATCAAATATATTGAGTGTAATTTTAGTAGTGATAGATCTACTAGAGGGATTGTGAATTTGGGCGATCAAGTATTGTTCAAAGTGATGGTGAAATAGATGGGGATATTATTTGTAGAATTCAAGTGAAGTGAAGGAATGCATTAGACTTGTTTTGTGATAGAAAAGTACACCTCAAATTTAAGGGAAAATTCTATAAGATGGTGGTGAGAACTCTAAGAATGTTGGCCATTAAAAGTGAAGCATAAAATTAAGTTAGGTGTTGCAGAGTTGAGGTTGCTTAGGTGGATGAGTGGCTTCACTCTTAGAGATAGAATGCGAAATGAGTTGCTCCAATGACATATAAGATTAGAGAGAGTCGCCTTATGGTTTGGATACATAAAACATCAGCCTTTTGATGACCCGGTTAGGAGATTAGATGTATTTGACTTGACCTATGTTAAAAAGGTATAGGTAGACCTAAAAAAGATTTGGTTAGAATGTGTTAAAAATGATATATTTTTTAGATTTAATTGAGAATTAGACTTTTAACAAGACAAAATGGAGAAAAATAATTAATGTAGCCAACTCGATGTAGGGGGGGTAAATGCTTGATGTTGTTGTGCAGTATAGATAGATGAATGGACAAGTATTAGGTGCCTTCTAATTTAGTTGTTTGGGCATTTGATGATAATGAGACATGTAAAGTGAGACTTTTACTTTTTATTTATGTTGAAATCTAACGGCTCGAGTGAAAAAAATATATGCTTGTAAGCGTTACTGTATATATAACTATAACAGAATATGGACAGCAATTTTGGCTTCGGTTTATTTAGAGGGAATATGTCCTAAAAGCGATAAAATAAAGCAGAGTTGCCACGATTTATGTAGAAAGCTAATTCTAGTCCAAATGAAATGTGCATTACTTGTTTCGTATATTATAAAATCGATCAAATTCTTATTCTCTTAGAAAGGAATGCAATGCACTTGAACATCAATCATTGCTGATGATTTGTTAGTGCAAAGGCATAAGAATAATTGTGACCCTATCTTCAGCTTCTTCAATATGAAGCTTGAAATGCCATGCATTTAGTTTGAGCACTTAGTAATTACTGTGTAAAACAATGGATTAAACAGATTAATAGATAAAATCTGTTATTTGACCCTAAGTATTCTATTAATATGTTGATGCCTTTTCTATGGCCTTATCTATTAATATTCTATTTGTTTTTCTTTTGTTTGAATGTTGAACTAATCAAAAGGCTTGTGCTTTGTCTCTTAGTTATAGGAGAAGTGACCAAGACACCAACATAAAATCTTTGATGATGAAATCAAAATCTGTGTCATCTGAACATGGGACGATTTCTCGTCGGAGCAGCTCGAGCTCTTTTGACCCGATGCCCGATAGCCCGGTGATATCTGAGTTATACAATGGCACTGATGGTAATGATTACTTTGGTGGATTTGCAAACTCAACAGAAGCAGATGAAGGCTTTGTAAATACACCCATTGAAAGGCCGCTCATCAATCACCAGCTCGAGCATGTAAATAATGGGGATGAGCTGAAGATGCAGGCCTTGCTTGAATCTGTAAATAGCAGTAATAGCTTGGAATTGGATGGATAGTCGCAGTGATGATGTTCATAATGCAGTTTCTTAAGGTGCAATCCCTTCAATATGTCATTATTATTTTTTGTATAATTAAACTAAGGCTTCGTTTGACACAGCTTTTTTGCTGCTTCTTAAAATAACTTTTTAATAAAAAAAATTAATTTCTGTATTAAAATGATGTTTTAAGAAGCAGCAAAAAAACCGTCCCAAATGAAGCCTAAATTTCTGTTGAATTATTTATAACTCTGGTTGTTCATACTTTTTTGACAGGTTGCACTAGGCTTTGGAGCTTTATGGTTTTTACTTTTTAATCTTCCTCAGCTGTGCAGCCACAACCTATTCTTTTATTATACCTGAAGGGCTATTTAACATGTATTGTGTGTAGCTATAGTAGTGGTGGGAATGTAAAGAAAAAAAGCAAGGGGGATTCTAAATGTGAGGAGGAAGCTTATCATTGTTATTTTGCCTGGGGAATTCTGTTAATGGTATGCCTTTGTAAATAACAAAATTTGTCCTCAAACCGTCTTCAATAAATTCAAATATAAGTTGTAAATAATGATCAAGATTGCAATTAAATTTGGTGTCGTGATTATTCTGTAGTTGATTTTCAGATGCAATTTTACATGAAGAAATCTCTCTTCATGCCAAGCTTTATCATTTTTACTAATGTTTTGAAAACTTGCAGTTGTTGGTCTCAAGTCTGTTTTACTTATTTTAGTACATTGAAATACGTGATTTAGGCGGTGTTTGGGATAGCTTTCTTACTGCTTTATAAAACGGCTTTCTAGTACACAATTTTCTAACTCAATAAACTTTTAAGAAAGCAGCAAAAAGGCTGTCCCAAATGAAACCTTACTTGTAATGTTTTCTGCTTCATGGGATCTTGATTGCGCCAATCATTAAATCATATGCAAGCTAAGCATGCATTTCAGTTTTTTTTTTTTCCTCCACAGCGGATTGCATCTATTATTTGCACCTATTCAGATTACTACCAAATTGCCAATTCATATTGAATTACTGGAACATGGAGATTCTTCAGTAGGTCAGGCTGTGTTCTTGTGCTTTCTGATGAGTTCTATCAAATTTCAATATTAGAAAGACAAGTCATTCTCTTAACTAGTTTTCTCGACTTACCTTATCTTCCAGCAGTATTTTGAACTGTTCGAAGGTACTAAATGTGATTAGGTAGAGTAACTTGAACTTGAAGCCAAACTATTATTGCATAGCCAAACCCAAAAAATCATTTTACTATTATCAAATGACAAATTGAAAGAAATCCCTATGATTTGTATGCTTTATCATTCCGTTCAAGTGGTAAGTAGGACTGGGTTTGACTGGATTGAGAGCAAAATCCCCAGAAGTAGCAATGATCCCATCTTCAATGATCTCCTTCACAAATTCCTTTGAATTGTCAAGCTTCAGGTCATTTATCTTGATTACGTCTTCATTTGAGGCAGTTTTCTTACTGTTTTTTTTTTTAAGTAATTGTTTTCAATATTTTCTTGTGTTAGTAAGCTGTTTCAAGAGCAACTTTTAAAAAAGCTATTTTGTCGACAACAGCTTTACAATCAACTTAAAAAAAAAAATGCAGTTGTTTCAAATAGATCATAAAACTATCAATTTAATATTGCTGATGAGAATTGTTGATCAAAGATCTTCTGATTCCTTTATTCAGAAATGCTAAACTGTTGCAAAAACTTAGTAAATTGGGTAACTTTTCCCTTCCATCCTCCACACTCCTAAATTATAATTGCAAAAATCTGCTTTGAAGCTTATAATGTCCGATGATCCTGATCACAATAAAGGTAGTGAAATAACAGCTAACTGTATTGTGTTTGAATCTTGTCTTTTGAGTTTATTGTTAAGTGCCAGTCAATAATGCCATCATTGCATGCTTATTGTTTACCATAGGCATTCTTAATTGGTTCTCATTAGTTAACTATAGGCATTGGCTTTGTTGTAAATATAGCTTCGCATCTTATTTTTCAGCTTCAGTCATTCCATAATCAATGGGACATAGGGATTCATTATTTTGTGCATAGGGATTCATTATTTTGTGCAGACGTCGAATGTCGTCTAGAGACCAATCATAATGCTCCACGTCACTCCTGTGCTCGGTACCGCTGACGAGGATCATTCTGGTTGGTCTCCGGATAGCTTTCTGTGTCCAATCTCCACACAATATTTTCTCGTGCACAGGAGAGGATTGCTAGGGAAGATGAAGGGGGATTAGATAATTATGATACATCTCTACTAAGATTCAGTTAAATATTGTGTTGCCCCCTCTGAGTTTTTTTTTTTTTTTTGAGCGAATTAAGTATAAATTTAGTGAGCCTCTTCATAAGAATTATTAAATATATATATTATATATATATATATATATATATTATTATATTGTGATACCATTTTTGAATGAAACCTAAACACCCATTGGGTCTCTCTCTCTCTTACTTTCTTCCTAAGTATGAAGTTGATCTTGATCTATTGATTTGAGAGTTTTTGATTCCAACTCAAATCAGAAACATATATATATATATATATATATATATATATATATATATAATACAAGCAAATTAATTAAATTTTTTTATATATTACGTTAAAATAAATTCTATACTTTTCAAACTCATCTTTATAAACAATTTAACCAAGATTGTTCTAATGCTATACTCATGCAAATTTTATAATTTATAAAAAAGGAGCGGGTTTTAAATTTAAATTAGTCTAATGAGCGTTTAAGAGAAAAAATTTTAAAAAGAGCAAATACGGATTTTAATTATCCAGTTCCTTTTGAAACTTTCTGATTTCTATTGAAACAAAAACTTCATTATTCAGTTTCAATAGAAACAGAAATTTTATTCGACGGTTTCTAAAAAAATATTTCTTTTCAAAGAAACAGGTTTTTTTAAAAAAAAATTGTTCCCTTAATTCCATCCCAGGTTTCAATACTAATACTAAATATTTATTATTTATTTATTTAATATTTAAATCATTAGATTATTTTTTAAAATTATTCATATTTTAATTATAAAAAATAAATTCATTTATATATTTAATTGTTCCTTATTTTTTTTTGATGATATTGAAATGTAAACATTTTATTTTAAATTATTATTTTTAATATTTTAAGAAATCTAATATCATGGAATTTTTTTTAATTTCATAAATTTATGAGAACAAGTAAAATAAAATAAAAAATATATTATTATTTTTTATAATTTTAAATTTAATTTTATGTTAATTATTTTTTTTAATTTAAATTGTTTCAAATTAAAAATTATTGGTTTATTTAAAAATAAATTTATTAATGTTGGAACCGGATATTTTAATCAAAGTTAAATATATACATGTATTTATTTTTGATAAATATATAATATAAATAATTATTTTTAATAATCTAATGATTTAAATATTAAATAAAATTAATATATATTTAGTATTAGTATTGAAACCTGAGATGGAATTAAGGGAATAATTTTTTTATTAAGAAAACGGTTAACATAAAACCAATTTCTTTGAAAAGAATTTTTTTTTTAGAAACCGTTGAATAAAATTCTGGTTTCTATTGAAACCCGATAATAAAGGTCCGGTTTCAATAGAAATAGAAACCGGATAATGTTGTTCCGGTTTCAAAAGAAACCAGAATAATTAAAATCCGTATTGCTCCTTTTAAAATTTTTTCTCTTAAGCGTCCTTAAGACTAATTTAAACTTAAAACCCACTCCTTTTTAATTGGATATTTATTGCGTGATTGTTGCGTCGGATATCGCGGGGTAGAGATATTTAGTTTAAGTCTCTGCATGTACGAAGTCCAGTCACGCGATAGATGAGGGAACTTACATCTAGAGCGCCTCCAGAGTTTAGTGAAACCCCTGATAGAAGGGGGACAACCGCGTGCCTTGGCCGTTTTGACTGAATCCACTAGTATTTGTAAGCGATTACAATGTGGGCCCTTCCTTTAGGCAGACGGTTGGATTGATGTACGAATTGTACATCCGTTAGTTTGCATTACATGGGAGTTATATTACAGGTTTGTTTGGCCTGGAAGGACGTAGTCGAAGGAACCAGGTGGGCGGCAGGAGCCCAACGTCTCAGGGCAGGAGACCGGTGGTCTGGGCAGCAACACGGAAGACCAAAAAACCGGCGGTAGAAAGACAACAGATTGAGGTGCATGTTGAGTGAGAGATCGAAGGAGGATGCTCATATAGAAACTAAGCGACGAGGCCTTGAAAGGACGTAGGCGTAGGAGAGGGCAGGTGTTTAGTCCCGTGTCATTGAAGACGGATGTTGATGGCTGGCTGAGAGACGTCGGTTCTTCTTAAGCCGGTAGGTCTTTTAGCAGGAGGTCGGGTCTTCAGCAGGACTTCGGGACTTACGTGGCCCTTGAACAAGTCGGGTTTCTTTGGCAGGAAGTACCCGACGGCGAAAGACGAGGAGGTAGGGAGCGGACCTGAGTGTACAGCGCCCATATCGACACGTACGGCAACGAGTCGGGTTCTTTCGGCCGGACGTCGGGGCTCCCATGAAGTCGGGCTTAGGTGGTGACATCCGCGAGGTTTTGTGGTGTTCGGCGAGGTTCCTGCGGTGGTCGGCGGTTGGTCCACCGACGAGATTCTGCGGTGTTGGCGAGGTTCTGCGGTGGTTCGGCGTTGGTCGGCGTCTGTCGAGAAGGAATGCCTTCCTTCTCTTTCCTTCTTCTCTTGCTGGAGTCTACTCCTGGCGCTCTCATTTGAGAGACACATGATTGGCGCCTCTGTCTCTATGCCTATTACTGAGCCTGTCCCCGTTTCATTGGAATCTAGTAATTGAGCCCTTTTCTCATAAGAGGGGATACGCAAGGAGGCAGAGGAGAGGATGGAGAATTTCCTTGTCCGACCGACCGACAGCCGGGCACCGCGACTTCGGCCGACACGATGCCGACACCCCGGAACCCAACCCCAACCCCCACACCACCAAGTGGCCTGGCACGATAAATATGGGATGAGATCAGGGGCGTAGGGAGTGTTTCAATGGGACGGGCGGATATCGAGTCTTTGTCATGTACGTGTGGGCTTTAAGGGCTTATGATGTCAAATTCTGGTTTTGGGGCTGTTTGGATTCGTCTCGTCGAGCGTTCGTGGTATAAGCTGTCAAATCGGAGCCGTTTGTACTCATTGCAGTTTGACTTTATCCACAGCGCTTGGCCCGTGATCGGGACTTTTGGGTCGTGATTGGGTTGATTTTGGTTCGTTGGGTTCGTATTTCGAGAGCTCAGTTGCTGTAGCTCGCTGAATAGAGTTCGAGGTGCGCCCAAAATTAATTTTTTTGTGTTTCCACTAGTTTTGCTTCGGATTCTTGCCGACAAGCATTTGTTGATGCGCGTATCGTTGCCCCCCTATTTTCGGACGTCGAGTTAGAAGTCCGAATCTTGTTCCGAATTCCAATTGGCCGAATCGCAATGTTGCTTCAAGTTAATGATTTGCTCAATTGATCGTAGGGCCCGTTGGCTTCAGTTGTCCGAATCGAGTCCGGCGTCGATAAAGTATCGGGGACCCCAAAAAGTCCGAACTCGGACTGTCCGGGCCGAAAGTCGGGCC